GACGGGGGGCCATCGGCGCGCCGTTGTCTCAGTTCCTGCGTGATCTGCTTACAGGGCGGCCGGCGCCAGCGCGCCGCCGCCGCCGGCTGGGAAAGGGACAAACACTGGCGCGCCCCGCGGCGCCGCTTTTGTGCACGTGACAATCACGGCGCGTCGCGGCGGCAATTTGGCGCGCGGGGCGTGAATCGGCGCCACTGTGGTGGCGGTGATAAGCCGGTAATTGCCAACGGACTCCGACCGGGCGGACACGAATGTCACGGGAGGCTGCCGCTCTGACCGGGCGGACACGAATGTCACGGCCCCGGAGGATGCAGAGCTGCCGCTCAAACGAGGCAGGCGGCAATGTCACGGCCCCGGAGGATGCATAGCTGCCTGGCTGCGGGGTAGATATACACTGAAGCGGATTGCTCGCTTGAGATTAACCACTGCAGCATGGCCTCGATGCATATAGGCAATAACTACGGTTCCATGACACGTCTAAATCGATTTAGAGAAATTTCACGTGCGTTTTTCTCGGATACCATTCACGTTATGCAAAAAATATTTACATTTTTACATTTTACATTTTTAGATTACATTTTTTACGTTTTACATTTCCTATATTTACATTTTTACATGCTGCCTAAATGTTATGATGGAGCAAATCCATTTTGCAAAATCGGCTTAACTTGTGCCATGGAAATGTAGCCAATGAAGCGTCCGAATTCGACGAACCTTGCCGTTTTCCACTCATAAAAAAAAAACAAATAACTTACATGAACATGGCAATAACAACAACGGGGAGCAGATTCAGATCAGTTGTTCATTTCGTTTCATTTCAATTCATTTTTATTTCGAGTAAATGGCGAAGTACTTGTATGAACAGCATTACGACATTTTTCATTTTTATTTCATTTATTTTATTTCATGCCATGAGGCACATATCCATGGTTGAATGAAACGCCACAATGATAATGATGCACACACATTCCCAAACACACATAGTACACACACAGAGAGATACAAACGACAAAAAAATATCAGACTCTTGTCTTATGCCTGCCATTTCGTTTCGTGTGCGAACAAAGCACACGTGCTGCGTGCCGCGTCCGATTTTTGTGAATCGGAGTCATATTTTTTAAGGGAGTGTCTCACGCATCGAGTATTACTAATCTAGATCCACCGATATGTTCTTGTAAAAGCTGCTAGTTTCATATCATTCGAGTAAACCAATGCATAGTTAACTTATGTTGATTTAACAACGCTTATCAACGTTTGTGCAGCGTTTGTATGGCACATTTCCATAGCTGCGTATGACAGTGCGTTAGTGATGTCAATTACGGAAAATCGTGATACCGATACCAAACCAAATATCAACAATATCCATTGAAAAATACCGAAACCAAACCGACTTGGAAATATAAGGAAAATACAAATTTTTACCAAATTCTCAGCCTCTTTTACATTAGTGAGGATTCATAATACCAACAAAATACCAAATGCACTCGCCTTGAAATACCAAATACCAAGTTGGTATCGGTTTGGTATCGGTATACCAAAAAGTTGGTATCCGATTGACAACTCTACAGTGCGTGTTCACTGTTCATGTTGGCATGCAGAATTTCTTGAAGATGAATTTTCTTGATTTTTTTCTTCACCTTAATAATTATTGGATGCGTCATGCCCGTTCTGATCATCTGTTGTTTCTCTTCCCTCGGCGGTCCGTTAGCCCCCCCCCCCCTCAGCAGCGATCATTGCTGGGCGGCTCGCGCAGCTGGTGGGTCGACCGGCGGGCGCCCTTTGAAGTAGTGACCGCAGCGGAGGGAGTGGAGGGGTGTCGGGGGAGGGCCGACAATTAGCGACCGCTCGCCACTTGTAGCCGGCCCGGGCGTGTGTTGTCGGCCGGGGTGGGGTGGGGTGGGGAGGGAGAGGGAGAGGAGGGACGGAAGGGCTGACCGCGCCTTGCCTGGAGTCCAGATGTGACCGATTGTGGGCACCAGACGTGGTTAACAGGTGTCCCAGGGTCTTCTCGGCACTGCACTGACGGCGGGGAAACGTCCGAACAGGACGGGCGTGGCACGATAATCTTCAACAAACATGCATGAACAATGCTCATTTTGTATTGTTCAAGAAAGCAAAAACAGTATTAACGAATCACACGAATCTGTAGTCTGCAAATCCATATCACGGCAGGGTTGCTATAAGTTCGTATCTGATGTGAATAGCGATGCTGGTAGATAAGGAAACTGAAACAGTGCAAATCAGCTGCGAGCGGGCTATTGAAGTCCAGATTCAGCTCAGTGGTAACTGGTAGCATTGGTAGTGTAAGATTACTGTACCAGCTCAACCGATCCCATCCCGTCGGTGACATACCGCGGGCCTCGGTAGCCGTCCGGCACGTCCGCGGCACGTGGTGGTGTCAATGGCACGAGCACGCGTGCCCAGTGACCGGCGGCCCAGCCGCTGATCCGGAGAAACCCGAGCTGGCGCGTCTCGGCCAAACAATGAGTCGTAAAGACTGGGTCTCGGACTACGGCTCCAGCCGGCGCCAGGCGCCGCCGCCGCCCCGCCGTGGTAGCCCCCGCCGCTGCCGCCGCCTCCGCTGCCGCCGCCCCCGCCGTGGCCGCCGCCGCCGCCGCGGTCGCCACCTCCGCCGCCGCCGACTGATCCGCATGTTCGGACGCTGTGTGAGCTCGGTGGCTGTGCTCGCCACGGGCCGCAAAATCCAGTCCAGCCCAGCCCAGGCCCATTGGACTGACCCGGTATATGGCGAACACTGCTCGTAGGCTGGTGCTCTGGCCACACTGCACGACAATTTCCAGCCAACTGTTAGATCGTTTGATTGTTTACATAGTTCTGGTTTTGAAAATTGACTAAGTACAATGTTGCGAAAGCGCCAAGTGCATGATGCTATTAAACTTTAACATACGAGTACGACTAGGTATAGTTATTAGTGATGTCAATTACGGAAAATTGTGATACCGATACCAAACCAAATACCAACAATAACCACAAGAAAATACCAAAACTGAACCGACTTCAGAAAATGAGGGAAGTACCAACTTTTTACGAAATTCTCAGCCTCTTTTACATTAGTGAGGATTCACAATATACCGACAAAATACCAAAAACATTGGTCTTGAAATACCAAATTACCAAGTTGACATCGGTTTGGTATCGGTATACCAAAAAGTTGGTATCCGATTGACATCTCTAATAGTTATGGTTTTCGGTTATGCGATGCAAGATTACCTGTTATTTGAAACAATTGTTTCGATATTGGGGGCTATGTAGACGTTCGATGCTACTGTCTTCTAATGTATCTCCATTTCGAACAGCTCATTCCTACATAACACTTTGTAAACGGACTGAATGTTGTGTGTTGGTAATTCCCACGCAAAAGTGTAGCATGGCTACGGGCTACGTTTAGCCCTTATGGTATGTGATCGACGGGATAATTCATAATATCATGCATCACCTATGATCGTTTGTCCGATTCCTAATGACACGTGGAATGAATGAACAAGAAAAGTGCAATGCAATGCAATGTTTTTTAACTTTTGGCTTTATATTTTATAATGCCGCAATTTCAGCGAAAAAGAAACATGTTGCATGTTTTTGAACCCAAAGCTGCCGTTCGTCATAGGATTTTACATCCTGCTAATATACCAACACAGAATTAAATGCACAAAAATACATTCTTTGCAATAATCTGTATTTGGCTGTTATATAATAGGTATAGTTCGTTTTTCTAAGTTCGACCCTCACTGTAAACGTCTCTTTGAACACAGCACGAGAATTGGTAGCTGAATTACTGAGAAAACTCGGCGCACAGTGATTTCGCAGACGATCAATTGTCATCAATTGTATCAAAATTATTTCTACCTGGCTCCTTTTTCCCAGACTCGCAGCCCGGTATTTGCAACCCCACAGGATCGAGTAATTGTCAGGAAGTATAACCGAACTAATTAATAAATCGCACGGCGTTTAACGTAACAGTATATAATCGGTCTTAGAAACTGATTTTGAGAATATTAGTTCATATCTCCAATACAAAGTGCGTTATTTTCTTGCGCGTGCGTTTCAAAGTGCGTTAAGTGCGTTAACTAATTTTCTCGGTAATTCAGTTAGCAATTCTCGTGCTGTTTCCAAAAAGATGTTTACAGTGAGGGTCGAACTTAAAAAAAAACGAACTATAATAGATTTCACGCGCGTCACAGGAAGTTATTGGTTGGGAGCTAGTGGTTAACTAAAAGATACCGGGGATAATGCTATGCAGCGCAGTAGGGATAATGCTACCAAATTCCGAAATTATTCGTAGGGCCTATAGGCTACCAATAATTTTAACTTTTTGCATGAAATAGTATGTGTTAGAACACATAAAATCTGCAATCGACATGCATCCAAATTAACTAGAGGCTCATTAGGTTCAGTTCAGTTCACGGCTCCAGTTCGAACTGCGTGCAGATCGGCGATCACACTGTTGAGTGTTGATCGATTAAATCTATATAGTTCAATTTTTCGATTACTTGTATTACCGATGGGGGCCTGGCCCGGCCACTGCACTGAAGGGCTGGGGATGGTACTGAGGAAATAAAGATCCCTGATAATGTGATTGTTTGAAAGCAAATTATTTTATCGCTTTTATTTCAAATCTCACAGTAGTTAATTTAAGCATGTAGTAATGTAGACTTGGTCTACATACGTAAGCATGTAAGTGTGTAAGTCTACATAAAGTAATGTAGACTCGACGTTTGAAAACACCAAAACTCACAATTTCACACTATACTATCAATTTATGTGTACAGGTTCACGTCATTTAGTGCTCCTGATGATAGAAGGGATATCACACCTCTGTATGTCAGATCCCGCGATAATCTGTTCATCCCGTCCCAACCAGCGACCGCCGCGCACCCGCTGAGGTCTCATCTCGCGGCCGCCGGCCCCGCCCCCGCCCCGCTCTCGACCAATGGGAGCCGCCGGCCGACCTGAGATGCAGCCTCCGCCGCCTCCGCCGCCGCCGACAGAGGAGGGAGTCTCGGCAGAGCCGGTCCGCGGGGGAGAGCGGCGCGTGGGCGGCGTGGGAAGAGAGGACGGGACCGACAAGGGCCTAGCTGAGCGCAAATCGACAGGGGCTAGCTGAGTGGTGAGGAGCTGCGAGCTGACCTGATAGTTGGGTGTCAGTGGATGTCCGTGAAGTAGAGGAGGAGCCAGTGGACAGTGACCTGACCTGAGAGTGACCTGACACAGTGACCTGTCGCCGGGTCGGGGTCCGCCAGCGATGGCCACCGGACGGGCCATCCTGCCCACCACACACACCGAGAGGAGCGAAATGGGGTGAGTGCCGCCCCGGGGGAGGGGAGTGGGAGGGGTGATGGACCTTGATTGGTCCGGGGTGAAACGCATGCTAGTCGGATTGGAGCCCGGTCCCATCAGTAGGCATGTGATTAGATCTAAAATTTAAGCGATATTTTTTAGGATCACTCTTGATCTGGTTTATCTTTCATAGGGCTTTGAACACGTGATTGTTGATACTTCGGCGGCAAGCCTTCAAATAGGCCCAAAGCCAAAGAGCGAAATACCGTGATGAAATAAGAGCTCGGGCTGCTTCACTTATTGCAAGATGAGTAGTGAGTACTCCCTCAAAGCCTTTCATTGCGCGAGTTTAATTAACTTTGTCATTACAGTAACCTCCTGAAATCAAGGGGTAGGTAAAGCTCGCAAGTCTTACTGGTTTCTGAACGGGTCATTTTGAGCACGTGGTTTGGGTTTCGACAATGAAGATCGGGGGACGTGATCCACTCACCGTTTCATCCAAAAAGCTCTATAACAGAGTTTTGCAGTAAAACAAAACGAGCGGTTTGGATGTCATAAGGCGTCTCAGCTTATGAAGCTCTTAGACCTGGTTTTAGTCAGGTCAATACAGCGGTCTCTGAGGAGGTCACTTTGCATATGATCCGACAATGACCGATGATTCGATTGGTGATACATGTATGACGTCACGGAACGTTTAAGGTGCAAACAATAAGCATCAGATATGTGTGCAATGTGTAACCAATGTTCTGTCTTCAATGTTGAATTAGATAATTCCTGGTGTGAAATGAGCGACTTCCGTATTTCTCTATTGCGTTGTAATGCGGTGGTCACGCGGCCGACCTGACCTCTGGTGTATACATACACCGTTTATGTTTGTCTTGTTATTTTCTGTTATGCAGTACATTTTGGTGTGATAAGTTATAAATAATTGGACCATATTAGTGCCACGAGATGAAAAGGCAGGCCTCCGCCTGCCTTTGCGGCCGTTTGTCCGCCAGAGTGGACTTCGATTGTCCGGCGGCCGGCGGGCCAGGCCGCCGGGCCATACCAACAGTCACCCAGGAAAAATGAAAAACCCAATGCCTTATTTGCCTTAACCCGGCCTGGCGGGGGGGGGGGGGCGAATAAGGCAATCACCGCAGCCAGGGGAGACAATAGCCGTTTTCACGACGGGCTATCCGGCGAATGCACCTAATTTGACCAAATCTGTACCTAATCTCTTTTACATGAAGTATCTTCATTTTGTGAATGTATTTCAGTGTATTAATCAATGATACTCTCTGATAATATGACAAAGCAGGCATATAAGGCATAAGCAATTAGTGCAACCCTAGCTGATAGCTATTACGAGATACACCGAGCCTAATTTGACCAAATCTGCACTTATCTGCACCAAATGTGTAACAGATGACCGTCGTGAAAACGGCTAACATTTACACCCTGTCAAACTCCGTAAATATAGGAGCTACGAAAAATGGTGCCAAACGAAAGGCCACCACGAGACGTTTTAAAGCACCTAAAATGTTTGACCTCAGATCATTTTTCAAAATCAGGTCAAGGTGAAAAGCAAAAACCAGCATACGAGTATGTGTAGTAGGTTAAACTTATTTTCGAAAGTTTGAATTTTTATCGGGACATCCTCTCATACTATTCCACTAGGCATAAAGACGTGTCACGTGTAAAATATTTTTGAAAAATATTGATTTTTAGGGTAGCTCAACGAGGTAGTTTATTCTCTTTTTTGTAATAAAAGTGCAATTTTGTATTTATTTATGGTGAACGTTTTTAACCTCAAAGCAAGTTAAGTTTGGTTTTGTGAGATTAATATCGAGGATGTAAGTTTACGATTTTATTCCGCAGCAACACCTTTATCTCGAGTACTAACCAAACCGCTGGGGTCTCTTCGACACCCAATTCCCACACATTTTCAGCCGTCATCAAATTTGGCTTGTGGCAGTGACTCGATACAAACGCAATCGAAGATGCTGAAAACGATGGCTGGGGGTCGCTCTAAAATCATAAGTGGCGGCCAAAAATGTTATATTTTTTGTCATAGCCCACTATACGCTCGTGGCGAGCGTTAGCTTATTGGCTGCAGGCAGCCAGTGCCACTGGCAAAGTATGTGACAGCTGAAGAGGTTTTTGCACCTCTGGTCCCGTCAAAAAATCTATTTTTTTTTTTTGTTTTACTCCCAGAATAAGTGCCACCCTAATGTGTGGTGATCTCAAACGAAGTGTTCCTGAGGATGACAGGATACATGAAATGGGTTGAAACAGGTGGGAAACGACGGAGGAGAATCTAAGGAATCCGATGATTTGCTTAAACTTCGAGGTCAGGGTCATGATCAAAATTGACCTCATGCCTTGCACTTCTTCGTATATCTTGCTCACTAATCTCCAAAATGTTTTGAAATGCTTTGAAGGTTATCAGGCACCTATTTGTGGTTTAGGTTACGATAAAAGGCTGCCCCCAGGTCAAGGTCAGGTAAGGGTATCCTTGCTTGAGGCTATTTCACTGATTCAAGTGAGCCATAACAATTCAGCGATTTTTGCTATTCTGACGCTCTAAACGAATGCCTAAAGCAAAACAAATGCCAGATTCGTGATCAGGGGCTACGAATTTATCTTATAACACCTTCATGTGTCAAGGTCAACCAAAGGTCATTCGAGGTTACAAGAGGTCAACATAAAAGTAAACCTTTTCTAAACAAAATATATGTCATTAGACGCGTCTTGACAAGAGGATTCGTTGGTACTACTACCACTGTCTATGCTCTAGGATGGATCATTTTTGTTGAAGTTATTTGCGAAAGACTGAACACCCAGCTCAGAGTCATTGACTTGACCTCAGGTCACCAAAATTAGTTTTTGTATTTTTACTATAGTTATATGCTACACAACCGTGCTCGAAGTTCGTTTTTATCTCTAAAACCCTTTTTTTGGCAGCTGTTTGAAGTTCACGTCTGTGACATCGAAATTTCCCGTGCAGGGGTCTAGGAGAATCGGCCCCGTGTTGTCATCAAGGGGGCTGGGTCCAAATGTTTTGCTTCATTAACCCACGAGCCGCTGGGGGGGGGCATAAAGTTGCCCCCCCCTTTACGTTTTGTGAAATATCTCCGAAACCTGATGAGCTACGAACATGAAACTTGGCATAGCTTCAAACGAATACCTAGGCAATGTTTGAGGAAAGTTTGGTGGTTGTAGCACCTAAGATGACGTCACAGTGACGTCATAAAGTTTTGCCGTTTTCCGATATGGACCGTTTCTGATGACGCTGAGCATGAAACTCAACTGTAAATGAACTAGACAGCACCTGCTGTCATCCTAAAACATCTAACTACATTTCCATCTAGTTTCTGGCCAATAATTGACCCTTTATATTCGGTCCCATATATCTGATGTATCGTGAGGAATATGAGAGTCGCAAATCTATAATTTCACTTATGACGTCACTGTGACGTCACTTCAAATGGGATCGACACCAAATTTGGACACAACCTCGGCTAGGTATTCAGAAAAATGTGTGCAAAGTTTCGCTTCTCTATCTCTTCGCGTTGCGACGATATCGTCGCAGAAGTAAAGGGGGGGCAACTATATGCCCCCCCCCCCCCCCCCCAGCGGCCGGCGGGTGGCGCGGAGGCCCAGCGGCCGCCGGGTTAACCCTCGCCGGCACAGGCCATTTTGCGTCCTTCGACGGCACAAGGGTACGACCCCCCCCCCCCTCGCGCTTGGCCCCTAATTGAGCGGGAGCCTCGCGGAAAAAAGCATCGTGTAGGTCGTTACGAGACGAAGCCAACAATACCATGTTTTAAGGTCATAGGTCAACTGTTGACCTCAGGTCAGGTCAATGACCCTTAAGTCGGGAAAATCGGGACCTGTTAGAACGTCGTGGTGGCTGGTAAACTGTGGCTGCTGTGGTTTTTTAGGGGTGCCGATCACGAATATCATGTTAATTTTGATCCGTGATCACAGATGCTGCCTTCTGCAGTTAGGCCATGTCGGGTCAGGTCAGGTCAGGTCAACCAGTAGGGGTCCTGCCGGGTATTCGTAGGTGTCAACCGCCTTTGACAGCTTCGTAACATGTTGCGAAGGCACCAAACTACTTCGTGTTCAAATGGCTGCCAAATTCGAATTCAGCTAAAAAAAAAAACTAGCCCAGAAACATGTAAAACTCGAAAAAGTGAACCCAGGTCATCAAAGGTCAATGACCTGAACTGGCCTTCAGGTGACCTTGACACCTACCCTAATGCATGGGACCAACACATTATCACATGTTTGAACGCTTGAAACCACGAAAAACTGCGAGCCGACTTGTTCCGAATCGCGATTCCGGCCAAACATGGTCTCGGGAAATGGGACACAGGTCAAACGCAAGGGTACTGAAAGTTTCGTACGATCGGCGCTTTTTACGCGAGTAATTTGCGAAAAAACCGAGGGGATCCGTTCAATCCCCCTGGCATACTTATACGGGCGAAGGTTAGACACTGTACCTAATGCTATGTTTTCCATCGGTTTGTTTCATTGAACAAAAAGTCTATGCAATGGATGTTGCACACACAGTGCAAAATATATAACACCACATCTTAAGGCCACTGCAAATCACCGTACTTTAAGCACCGAGGTGAGTTTGTCGGCAATTAGCGGCTGGCCGTCGCCATTAGGTGTTAATGACCCTCCCATTTCCGGTGTCTCGCCGGGACGGAGAGAGGATTACGACGGAGGAGGTTAGAGTAGCCGTGAGCCGGGGCGGACAGTGTCAGACAGAGACAGTGGCGTGGAGTGGATGAGGTGCCGCGAGCAAATAATCTTTTCAATGTTATAAATACTACTACAATGCAATATTACAATCCACTTGTAATGCTCAACCGTATCGCCAATAAATCGTACAAAGAAGTGAATAACTAGAAATAGTTCCGCTCTCCTTACCATTGTAGGAATCTCTTCCAAACCATTTATTCCCCGGATGTATCGTGCACGTTCCCACAGACCCGCGGTGCCGTAACCGTAGCGAGCCGGTAATGACCCCTGTCCCTTCCCACAGCCACCGTCTCCCGTTCCCCCGACCCGGCGCACGTGCACACTGTCATACTCCCCAATAAAGCCATCAGGCGGATTAGTGGCGACCCCCCGCCGGCCGGGCGGCGCCGGCGGTCGGGAGCGGTCAGCGGCCGGCCGGCGGTCCCACGCGCGGTGGTCCGCCGCTGGTCTCTGGTGGTCCACCGATGCATGGTCTGATGGTCCGTACATGTCCCGACGGTCTCTGGTCCTCTCAGACCTCCATGACCCGAGAGGGAACTGCATCTGACCGCCGCCAAATCACCGGATGTGACCGGAAGTCGGTTTGGTCCTCCGTCCCGAAGGTGTTAATCCCCGGAACCTTTCTGGGCCACAGCGGCCGGCCCAGACGCTCGTTTGGAGACCCCCGGGTGGATGCTGGTTTTGCCTCCGACCTGGCCTAATGTCGCTCCTGAAGAACCGAGCGTGGGACCGGAAGCCGCGTAGGTCAGTCCGTGTGGGTTTTGGGAAAATGTCTCGGGCACCTGATCTGGCCCATTCGTCAGAGACTCAGTCGTCTTGCTGTGCGTGTGTGCAGAGGACGTGTCAGTGATCGGTCTGAGGCCGTCGGGTGCTGGCAATCAGTGGTGACCGGTGACCTGCGGGGGCGGCCGGTGACCTGCGGTGGTGACGGTGACCTGCGGTGTCGGTCAGTGTCGGTCGGTGACCTGCCGATGACCTGCTGTGCTGGTTGGTGACCTGCATGATGGAGGTGGCGGTAGTGCCCGCCCCGGCCGTGCTGACGGCGGGGGACGGTCTGGGTCTGGACTGCGGGGACTGGCTGGCCGATCCGGGACTGGTGCAGGAGAAGCTGGACAGTTTGGAGCAGGAGTTCGGCGACCTGGATCAGGAGCTGGGCTCGAAGGACAGGCTGGAGAGACTGGAGGAGCAGCTGCGAAGCTTGGAGTGCGTCGAGGAGGCTGCGGAGGAAGAGTCAGGAGCGGAGCCGGACTGCAGTCCGGATAATCTGGATGTATCGGACAGCAGCCGACAGGACTTTGAGGCGCAGGCCTGCAGCCGCCAGCGGGAACTGGACAAGCCGCGCTGCAGCCAAGAGACGTTCAACAAGCCAAGCTGCAGCCACCAGCAGGAGCTGGAAAAGCCGGGCTGCAGTCAGAAGAAGCTCGACAAGCCGAGCTGCAGCCACCAGGCGGAGTCGAGGCAGCGGGTTACGCCGACGGACCGGTTCGCTGGGCGTCAGGCCGGGCCGGCGGCGCCGGTAAAACACCAGTCCCCAGTGATCACCATCTGGCTCGACGAGTCGTCATCAGAGGACGAGGATGATGGAACTGCCCCGCCGGACAGGTAAGGAGCGCTGCGACACGGCTGCAGCGTCGGCGAGCTCGGAAAAAAGCGGACTGGTAAGGCTGTCGAGAGGCGCAACGCTCCCTTGATTTAATGTTTATTTGGTATGATTTTTATAAATTGAAATGACACTTGAAATAACAATAGGTGTATATCTTTACGTGCTGAAAGGGTCAACGAGACGAAGTCCTACCAATGAAATGTATTGTTTTGGTACAAGCAGTTCATATACCTTAGACGCGAAACGGTCACTTAATTGTAGAACATTCAATTACGTACGCAACAACTGTGTACTGTAGATAATTTCGTAAAAATGACCAGAGAGTGGCCCATGTCCACGGCTATATGTGTGCAGTTGTTGGAGCCGATGCTGGGAAGGCCCAGCCCCAATGTCCCAATGATCATGCATGAAACATTATGAGGAGCTGACTTTCGTACCTATTAAAATATTTTTTTTTTTACTGCGATTGAAGTTAATGCTTGATGGCATTATTTTCTTTGACCTCTGTTTTTATCTGTTTTATTTGCATTGAAAAAGTTAAAAGAAGATACATTTCTTCAGGATTAATTTAGAATGCTGATTTGCTCTTTTGATGGATCGCTTTGATAGCGCGTTTTTCACATTGACATGCTCACTGCTCATGACGGGCATGAACTGCTTTGCATGAATTTGCTCATACTACCTGAAGAAAGCGGAAAAATCCAAAATATGTTTTCGTGTTGGACGTTCTTAAGTGGAATGGAATAGAACAGCACCCAGTCAAGGTCCAGCACGGAAAATAGGCATACCTTCCTATGCATATTTTCGTCTTCCTTCACATACGAGTATGAGCGAGAGGTAATGATTTACATTTGTCATAATTGTTGATTTGCTCTACTGATTTATTGCGAGGAAGTCGGGCCGATCATCGGCCAATGCACTGTGGCATACAGCCCCACATGCGGCCAGTCTAATATGCACAATTCAGTACCGGGGTAAACTTATATCCTTTGTGGCTCTGAAGTGGACGAACATTTTTCTTGTGTTTATGAAGACGTTCATAGGCGTTTATTTATTCTACTCATTAATCCTACTTTGATGATATGGCGATATAATTTACAAGATAATTATTTCCTAAAAATAAACCAGCATATGAAAGGAAATAGCATTTATATCTTCGAATCTCATCTCGCTGTTCCTATAACTGTGAGAGTTCGGCGTGCGTCGCTGGTGCGCACTAGGTATATCGTACTGCAGTTGCCTCTCAGGCGTCTGTCGTGCGGGCTGCCTACCTCGCAGGCGCAATCCATGCCGTGCGGGCTGCCTACCTCGCACGCAAAGCCTGGCGTGCGGGCAGGCTGCACGCATGCATTTTTGTGTCCACTGTCCTCTGTAGATTTTGATCTACCCACAAGTGGATTACTTTGGGTATTTCAAGCTACAGGGATGTTCACGAAAAACTGACACATTTTAAAACGACTTTGTGAGCATGTGAGAGCTCACGGAGACTTGATTTGCATGCCATTCGAAAGCCTGTTGAAAAAAGTTTTGTATGTGCATAGCGCCTTTAGGTAGCATCACACGAGTTTTCAAATAAATAAGAAAGCGTTAAAATGGGGAAATTTGACTTGGCGACAAAACTTAGCGGAAAAGCAATGAAGCTCTCGCGGCTACCATCTGCCACCACGACTGAACCAGTCCACGAATTCATCTAAAATTTGGCATATTAATGTTTCGATGGATTTTGTTTTATACTTTTGGCATATTGTGGGCAAATTCCTAAGGAATGCCAAAATTGGCAGGCTTGGAAGTGCTGATGCCATAAACCATGGCCGCATGCTGGCAGTCACTGTAGAGTGGTACCGTGCCATCTTTTAACGGCTTCTGTTAGCTACTGTAGCGGAAATGGGTCGACGTCTACACCATTTGGTGGTTCTGGCACGTCAGGGCCACCACACGTACAGTAACCGCGATCATCGGTCTCACACGAGAACAGGGGGGAGGGGGCATTGTCTCGCGCATCACCTCTCACCCATAGCCGGCCATTTCGCTCTACCTCAACACCGTGGACTATTCCTGTGGGGTCACGTGAGTGACATGGTCTGTAGCAGCGGCCCAAAGGACATCAAAACTCCCGACGAGTGCAGTGAGAGGTGTTGCAATTCTTCAGGCACGTGCCCAAAAACGGGGGATAATTTCCTGTTTCGGGCTGAGTCGTGCACTGCTCCAAAAACTCGTCATCTGCAAAATACGCTGTAACTTCTTAGAAACGAAAATGACATATTCCCAAAATATGTCAATAAAAACTTAGAAGTCCACTCTATTTGCACATAGCATGATCACCGTGCTGAGGGCAAGTGTTTTCTCGTAATTCGGAAATAAAATGTGTCAGTTTTTCGTGAACATCCCTGTACTTTTTATGCTCTACTTATTTCGAAGCCTCCTATGTAACGCTTTGGTCAGTGGTTTATGGCTGATGCGATTATCGCATCAACTTGTGTCATACACGTTTATAAAGCGTCGGACGAGAAATATGTATTATACAACATGGCTGAATCGAATTGATAATATCCATTTTATCACATTAAACCAGCATCCAGAAACGTTCTGTGTCGTCGGACGGACGTTATGTGAAGGTCCCTCGGCGCTACCCTCCGTCACTCTGCCCCACTGACACCCGTCTCTCACCGGCAGGGCGCACTCCGCCGCTGTGAAGGCCCGGCTGTTCGTGCCGACCACTGACCCGGCCGGGGGCCAGCCGGGGTCACAGCCCGGTCAGCTGGGGTCACAGGGTCACCAGCCGCCGCCGCTGGTTGACCCCCGCGACCCCGATCAGACGGAGACCGACGAGAAGCACCGGACTCTGCTGGCGCATTACCTCAGTCGCTGCTGCCGCGAACAGGTAAATCGACGACGTCAGAGAGTAGCGGTTCTGATTTTCGAAGTGTTTATTTGTGTCTGTCGTTTATTTGTGTCATGTGACAGGTTAAGATTGATATGCGGTGTGAGGTGCTACACTTTTATCATCGCATAACGTATAAATGTAGGTCTGTTCTGGTAAATACTTGTATGCATTTGTCATTGTGTGGTCGTAAAGCCTCATAGCCGGTGACGTGACAAAATGAGCTAGCCGGCGCGGTGACTAAAATAAGCTAGCCAGTGACAGACCACCTTCAGTCCTAGACTCCAGTCAGCACACATGTTGAGCCCGCGGTTGCTGATCTCTGCTCACGTCAGCGAGCTGAGGCCGTCACGCTGACAGTGCAGCAGACTGACATTTGTTCTGGTACCGTATCTACCACCAGCTCAATGCCCCATGACCTATGGGGTCTGCGTAGCTCAGCGGCCGATGACCTAGGCGAGTCTGCCCTGAGAGTGGCCCATGTCCCTAGCTGTATCTGTGAAGTCACTGTAGCCGATGCTAGGGAGAGCCGAGAGCGGGCGCTGCTCCGGTCTGATAATGAAGCGTGATGATCGCAGAGGTGCCTGGCATGCTGACCTTTCAGTCTGAAGGTCTGTTTCGAGCTTTGCTTTGAGAACTGCATCAGCATCAGAAGTTTCTTTTTCTGTTCGATATCGAATCCTTATCTTGTCCTCACGTCTTTTGAAAGGAAGCAAATTAAATAGTCCCATGAGTTATGTGAGAGTGAAGCTTTGAAGCTCGCTCTCAGATGCGTTATTATCCACTTCACAAAAAATCGCAAAACTGATACTTGACTTTCTAATCTGAGCTTATTCTGAACAACCTCTTACTATCACCCAGGCCTTGTCACAGGCACCCCCGCTAACCGCCCCCTCCCCACAGGTGGACTGTCTGCTAATGGTGGCCCTCCAGCGGCAGGGTATCGCCCCCAAGACTGACCCCTTCCTCTCTCTCCCTCACAGGTGGACTGTCTGCTGATGGTGGCCCTGCAGCGGCAGGACTTCCGTCGTCTGGAGGCGATCCTGGCGCACTCGCCGCAGAAGGAGGGCGCCGCCGCCTCCCAGACGATCCACCGCGCCCGTGTGCACGCTGCCTTCCAGCGCGGCGACTTCAAGCAGGTGTACCAGGTGTTGGAGAGCCAGCAGTTTGACGCCAAGTACCACACGGAGCTGCAGCACCTGTGGTACCAGTCGCGCTACGCCGAGCAGCGTCGGCTCCGCAACAAGCCGCTCGGTGAGCTCACGCCTCGCGGCGGTAAATTCTGGCCGGTGTCTTGTGGAGAAGGGGGAGCGGTAGAGAGAAGGGCAGGGAGACAATAAACTAGAGGAATAGGAGATGCTACGATTGGGTTCTTCACTTTGGGGCTGATTGAGAATATTTTTGTAAGCCTTGAAATCTCAAATGATATTGAAAAAAAATTATGGATTGGTTTTATCGTTGCCTGTTTTAGTGAAGTAAATTCACAACTCAATATTTTACTGACCATGATTTCCGTGTTTCCAATGCAGGCGCGGTGGACCATTACCGTATCCGTAAGAAGTTCCCTCTGCCGAGGACCATCTGGGACGGCGAGGAGCTCGTCTACTGCTTCAAGGAGAGGGATCGCAAGATGCTGCGGGAATTTTACACGGTAAGCGACTGTTCCCACCGTGTTGAGCCAGTCGCTTTTTTGTCGGCTGTGATCGGTTTGATGAATTATGATTAAAATCTTCATCTCTGTGATCCATTCTGGTCCTAAAATTTTATCTGAATCGACCATTTGAATCTCGCTGAGCATTTTCACTGATAAGTACCTATCATCAAAATGCTAAGCCACCTGCACGCCATCCGTCATCTAACCTCTAATCTCTGTCGCCGCTGCCGCAGGTGAACCGCTACCCGACGCCGGGCGAGAAGCGCGAGCTGGCGCAGCGGACCAAGCTGAGTACCACCCAGGTCTCCAATTGGTTCAAGAACCGGCGACAGCGGGACAAAACGCAGAGCAGGGAGCACCCCATCGGCGCCACGCCCATCAAAAGGTAGGTCCTCCGCTGAGGAGGCTCCCAGTTCAGGTTTTTTTTTGGCTTTCAGGGCGCTGACTGATTGTGATGTCTGTAATTCGGGTTCAGTGTCCTACTCGAACACCTCGCTCATACTAAGGTGACTTAGGCGCAACCGCAACTTGTTTCGCTTCGCAATATTTTCAATATTCACCCTCCAAACTGCTAGATGGCATTGAACTTGCTGAGGAAACCGATTTGGTGCGAGCAAGTCCCGACGAAAATCACTACAGTAGCTTTCACATTCCTGGGAGCACTGAGGACAGTTCTGGATGCAGCCAAACGATACGATGATACCAGCGACATCGGATCCACCTTCTCAGTCTCATCTTCAGTAATGTCCTGAACAAGCTCAAAGGTAAAAGGTCACATCGCAGTGCCAGTCGGCAGTCATGCAGAATACGCTGGTCAATTGCGTGCATCCCCTTATACTCGTACAACTGGGCACACCTCTGTCGGACTGAGGCGGCTCTCCCGTTCGGCCCAGACCGGTCCGGGAGGACCGGGAGGCTCGGGAGGGCCGGGAGTGGCGCTGGGAGGCCCGGGAGGCCCCTCCTGTCCGGCGGTCGGCGGCCAGTCGAGTGACCCCGCGGCCACCACATCGGAACCAGACCCACTCAGCCGACGGCGATGGAAATATTAGCCGTCGAGATCGACGGACAACATCCCCGGCCGGCCGAACGACGGACTCGGTCCCCTCTGGGGGGGGGGGGGGGCGGCGGCTCCTGTGACTGTCCGGACTCGAACTCGACACCGTCACACCGCGGAACACTGGGGCGCTCCGGTGCAGGGGGGTCACGAGATGGAGACGATAGGTCACGTGATTCTTGTCGGTCTGGACGCTGTCGGCCGAGACAGCCTTTTGTTCGGTGTTTTCCCATTGATTAAAGATCAGTTAACGTTTCAAGGTGGCGTCTTGGAATCTCCCTGTTCCTCATTGGGAGAATACAAAACAGGAGAAGAGCTGTGATAGCTGTTTTCAAATTAGTGCTGTTTTTTACAGTTAACGTCAGCCTTCATCGTTGCAATTTGTCAGGAATTTGTGCCGTGAGTTCAGGTTTGTTGTTACAGAAGTCACTGACGTTCCAGGAGGTTACGTTTCGTAGTTATCTTCATATGTATAAATCGGATAAGATTTAATATAAACATTCGAAGCGAGCTTTCAAACCTCTTGCTAAAGGAATCGCCATCGGCCTAACCTAATTTGGGTGAAACATCTTTTTTTGTCGTCTTTTAACCAAAACTAATAAGTTATGGAGAAAAAAATCCAGTGTTTGTCAGCTCCCCCTCCAATAAATCTCTGATGGAATTCGACATCTGGCCGAGTTGACACCTGCTCCCCTGCTCGGGAGTCGGGTCGGGCTGAGGGCTGCGGCGCCCCTCGGCGGCTGCTGGCGCGCTGCAACCCGATCTGTTTGCCCGTATAAACCGCCGGGTGTGTCGAGTCGCCGCCGCGCCGTCCCCGTCCCCGTCCCCCTGGCCAGGTCAGCGGCGGGTCAGGTCACGGCTCATCGCGGCCCATCAGTCAGCCGGCCGACGGGCGCGCTCCGGTTACAGAGGCGCCGGTGCGCGGCTCCGCGGCCTGCCGGGGTGTCAGCGCGGCGCACACTGGGGGCCATTGACGGCAGGCGGCACGCTCCGACACAACTGCAGCCCCCCCCCCCCCCCTCCGCGGACAGACCGGGCGCGAGAGATGAGCGGGGGGGATGGATATTTTGGGATGACTATTGACTGTGTGAAGAGATGGAGAAAATATTCCGTCAAAATAACAACAAATTAACACGGTACCCATGTTAGTATAATTGAAAAAAGTGAACAAAGAGCTTAACTTTCTCTGTCCTCTCGTAAAGCATGTGTCTTTAAATATTGACTGCCGAACCGTCTTAATGATGAAATACTAGTAATCACCCACTGATCGGCTGATAGCGAGGTCCTTCCTGATTTTATGTTGTGACATTGTGTAGGTATGTATGGTTGTAGGTATGTGAGCCTAATGTGCCCCTCAATTCAGCCCTACCAAGTACCAAGATCTAGAGACGGACAACCTTTCTGTGGCCAAATCCCGCATATCCCGTGGCCAAATCCTGATTCCTGAACGGAGATCGCTTGATCGATATGTAATGGAATTGGAGATAAGCATCAACAAACATCCGATAAACGATCTCATTCTGCTACATTAGACGTTACAGCGCCATTATATCAAATTACCTGTGTCGAATTACATCGTTTGCTCTCTGCGATGCAGGGCAGGATTGATAGCGATTTCTCCCGTTGTTCTAATAATTGATCATAATTTTACTTATATCATAAACGAGGATGTCACATTCGAGCTCAAGTATTTGGACCCAGTTTTTGTTCGTCATTCCGTATACACTGAAAACAATTTCACCCGAAGCTGGCGAATTAAGCGTTGCTCTGCGGGTGGTATATGTGTAATAACTCGCCATGTCCAGATTCTAGCTAGAGGGTAAGCAGACTTGCCTGCCTTATTACTCGTAAATATGCACTGTACCCACAGTCTGCAGTAAGGTAGCTACCCAGCACCGGATATTGTCCCCGCGGGTGTCGAGTCATTGGCACAGCCCTCACTGAAAGAGTTGGACCTACTCGAGGCATCGTAAACGCGTATCCGTGGATGGCGAACCTTTACATAACCTGCCCTGAAGGAGTTGGATCTACTGTTACAACTAGATGGCGTTGTCTCATACAGTTTTAAATTACAACAATTTTTTAACTTTTTTTTTAACCAATGATATGTTGGCACATTGTTTGGCGGTTTTGAAGTGGGGGCGAAGTACAATTGTTAGGGTGCATCTTTAAAACCTCTGCAATATTCATCACGGGACGATTGGCAACGCTTTTTCTTCCGAAACTACCAAGTGAGACCATTTTGATCCTTATATAGGTCACGAAAGCAGCGGCGACACATCCACCGTTCCGTGCTTCTATCCTCAGGATACTGAAATCCTTGTCCTCCACGCCGCAACCCCCCTCCGGGCTGGACAGGCAACTTTATCTCATGCGGGCTGCTCCCTTGGAGCGGCACCGCTGCTCCCGAGGGAGCGCACCCCGTAGCCGGGTGCAGTGAGTGCCTTGGGGCTGGGTGGCCTGTCTACGGACGGGCTCAGCCCCGGCGACTCACTAGGGTGCCTGCTCAGACCAATGTCTCCCCCTAAAACCTATCATCCTTCCGGCTCTGCAATGGTCTTGTCGACCGAAAGGGCCTAACCCAACAAAACAACAAAAAAACAACGGCGACACATCTTCTTGATTTCGGGCGGTCTGCCTGATTGCCGGTGTGAGTCATTTCGAAATTTCTATGGGAATTCGATTTGACTTTTCCCACCGATGTGAAACTTTCTCACCGATGTTTCCCATGGTGTGAAATTTCTATAATGTAGATATTTTCCCGCAAATATGGTCAAGCGTGGGAGTTTTTTTTTTGGCCCTCGTGACTTGGTCGGCGAAGGGTAGGCGTGGAGGGTAACCCCATCTCCTAGGGGTTTGTAGGGCGCTGCTGCCAGGTAGGCGTCGATGAATACCTTTCGATGGAGGGGTCGTGAGCCACTGGTGCGCGAATAGTCGTGGAGGGTTACTACTCTCCAGAGTGAATTGCGAAAGTGTTATGTCCTAAATTGACTCCTGGGAGGGTGGTTAAAAATGGTTGCGGATAGGGGTACCCGCGAGGCACCGGTTTACTCGCCAGTTTTGGGTGAAATTGTTTTCAGTGTAATTTCTGTCAATGAATTGTGGTGTATTCCAGTAAAGGTTGTTGCCATTTCCCTAAACATAGATGTAGTACATATACGGAGCTAGTGTCAGACACACTAAACTGATGAAAGATAGTGTTTCCTTGTAAAAATCAAGTATTTCTTTATTGTCATGACCCTTCCTCCTTTTCAAAAGTATGCTCAGCCAAAATTATATTGTTTTAGCGTTTTCAAATATATCGGCCACAGGCCTTCATCAGTGAAATATCCAAAAAACAATATAAACAATATAAAATATAATATATAATAATATATAAAATACAGTATATAATAACAATATAAAAACAATATAATTTTGGCTCAGCATATTTTTGAAAAGGAGGAAAGGTCATGACAATAAAGAAATACTTGATTTTTACATTAATAATGATCCTCTAACAAGCACTAAAACAGATACAACTCATAGTGTTTCCTTCTTTGACTTGATATAATACCTCGTGCCCGGGTCTCGGCCCTGCACCGGTGCTGTTTTCCGGTGCCGGTGTCGTGTCTTTACGAGACACCGCGCCGGCGGGCGGCCCGGCTATCAGTCCGGTGCAGCGATGCCCATTGCCCATTGCCCATGCCCGTCTCGGAGGGCCCGGTGTCACGTTCCTGTGTCCCGTGCCCTCTGAGGCCGGTGCCAAGTCCCTGTGTCCCATGCCCTGTCCAATGTCCATGCCCCGACCCTGAGGCCAGTCCCGTGCTGTGCCGTGTGTGCCCTGTCCTATGCCCCTGCTGTATAAGCTCGGTACTGCCTGTCTCGTGGCCCACCTCTGACGCATTGTGCCGTGCCCCGAGCTCTTAGTAGTTTGGTTTCTTGCCCCGTGTCCCCTGCCCGCCTCCCTGCTTTCCACTCCTGACCCCTCGTCAGCAGTCGTCTGGCCAATCTGTAGACAGCGAAACCGGAGCCCCGCCGAATCGTTAGCCTGAGAAACGAGGAAGATAACCACCGAGCCGGCCGGTGATAAATGGTTGCGGGGTTCGTTAGGGGCGGCGGCCGGCCGGGGCGGTAACCACACACGCGCAGGGGCGGGCCCGACCCCTGCCGCCCCGCTACTGACGCCCCGCCGATGCCGACACCGCCGCCGCCGCCGCCGCCGCCGCCGCCGCTGCCGCTGCCGACTTTACCGCCGCCGCCGCCGCCCCACGCGTTAGATGAAAGCGCAGTCTTCAGTCGAGGTTTCAATGAATGCCGCCGATGCGTCGTCTCATGAGCAGGGTGGAGCATAGGCCGCCCAAAGTTCAGCCATTCTTCTTTCGAATAATGAGGATGGTCGCCGAATGTCAGCAACTCACTTTCAACGCTTTGTCGACGACAGACAGCTCTCAGGTTCTGGGACACTGCACGCACCAATTCTTTCTTCAAACGGCGGCAACGAGAGAGAAATCTGAGGATAATAACATTTCATGTGATTGCTGAATTTCATGGGATGTCAGGGACATAAAGGCCTTAAGGCTGTGTTACACTGCCGAATTTTGGCCACGATCCTGTCGCCGAATCACGTCGTGTAGGAAATCGGCGAACAGTTCACCGACAGAGGCGAACAGTTCGCCGGCAGAGCCCGATTTGCAGAAAACGGGTGGGGGGCCCCCCTAATCGTGCGCGGGTCGAAGCTGATCCATGATTCGGCGAACATCGCGAATGAATGGCGAATCTGTTGCGAATAGTCGGCGATACCTTGGCAACAAGTCGGCGCACGCAGCGAAATCTCGGCGGCGACTCGGCGACTGTTTGGCGATCATGTTCGTTTATTATAAGTTCGGCGAACGGCCACGAAATTTTCATTTTTCATGAAATCTTCGTGGCGGTCGTGACGAACCGTAAAAGTCGCGCGGTGGACAACGACTGGTCTGCGAAATGCCAAGACCGTGGAAGAAAGATCCCGAATCGGTCCGCGACATAGGATGACTTGCATATTCGTGCACATTCGTGTACCAAAATTCGGCAGTGTAACAAGGGCTTTAAGCCCTTGTTACACTGCCGAATTTCGGTACACGAATGTGCACGAATATGCAAGTCATCCTATGTCGCGGATCGATTCGGGACCTTTCTTCCACGGTCTTGGCATTTCGCAGACCAGTCGGTGCCCACCGCGCGACTTTTACGGTTCGTCACGACCGTCACGAATATTTCATGAAAAATGAAAATTTCGTGGCCGTTCGCCGAACTTAGCATACACGAACATGGTCGCCAAACAGTCGCCGAGTCGCCGCCGACATGCCGCTGCGTGCGCCGACTTGTTGCCAAGGTATCGCCGACTATTCGTAACAGATTCGCCATTCATTCGCGATGTTCGCCGAACCATAGATCAGCTTCGACCCGCGCACGATTAGGGGGGCCCCTACCCGTTTTCTGCAAATCGGGCTCTGTCGGCGAACTGGTCGCCTCTGTCGGTGAACTGTTCGCCGATTTCCTACACGACGTGATTCGGCGACAGAGTCGTGGCCAAAATTCGGCAGTGTAACACGGCCTTTACACTGCCGAATTTTGGCCACGACCCTGTCGCCGAACCACGTCGTGTAGGAAATCGGCGAACAATTCACCGACAGAGGCGAACAGTTCGCCGACAGAGCCCGATTTGAAGAAAACGGGTGGGGGGCCCCCCTACTCGTGCGCGGGTCGAAGCTGATCCATGATTCGGCGAATATTGCGAATGAATGGCGAATCTGAGGCGAATAGTCGGCGATACCTTGGCAACAAGTCGGCGCACGCAGCGACATGTCGGCGGCGACTCGGCGACTGTTTGGCGATCATGTTCGTTTATTATAAGTTCGGCGAACGACCACGAAATTTTCATTTTTCATGAAATATTCGTGGCGGTCGTGACGAACCGTAAAAGTCGCGCGGTGGGCAACGACTGGTCTGCGAAATGCCAAGACCGTGGAAGAAAGATCCCGAATCGGTCCGCGACATAGGATGACTTGCATATTCGTGCACATTCGTGTGCCGAAATTCGGCAGTGTAACAAGGGCTTAAATGATGAAACGAGATTCGTGGATCCGAAGCTTTGATGAGTTTGGTTGCAGACAGAACCGTGACATTGGCAAACGGCCGCAATCAACGTTCAGTGATCAACTCAAATATGGTGCTCAATGACAGTGCTCGCCGTTGTAAAAATAGAATAAACGTCTTATGACAGCCCCAATATACACATTGACCCATTTATCCACTGTATCTCTACCACATGCTGCACCATCGAACAATCAACATGCTACCGTGTTTCGCATTGGCCGCCCAAAACCTTTGAACTTTCGTCACTGGCCGCCAGTATGTAACTCTGTCGTTGCGCTAGCCGTATCTGAACTTTTTCTAACCGCCCGTGTCTCTGTCGTTGCAGTGAGCCGAGTCTGTTCGGCCCGTTCGAGAGGACCGGCGGTGAGCCACAGGCCAATTTTCCCGTCTGGGGGTACGTTCCGCCGCCGTCCGGCCCGCCGCCTGCCTGCAGTCTGGGCGCCGCCGCCGCCGCCGCCGCTGCCGCCGCCGCCCACGGACTCGACTACGCCGCCCTGGGCCGACCGGGAGGCATCTCTAGCAACCTGCTGAACGGGTAGCTGGAGAGGGAGGTTCGAGGAGTGCTGCAGCGCTGTCGGAGGCACGGGATACACGAGTGCGGGGCGCTGAGTGCCGGGAATTCAGTCGCTGAGTGATCCCACTCCCAGCTTTTCCCGATGCATGCGCCTCGGTGAGCCATTGTAGACGCTGTGATTAGTAGCGTTGTATCCTTTTTGACCACACCGCTGAGACATCCGCGTCCGAGATTAATCCAGTAAAATGAAGATTCTTTGTATTGGCAGGATTAGAAATACCGTGATTTTGTTTCACATACATCGATAAAGTAGGACGCTGTAACTGATATCATGCGTAATTGCGAGTGATGGAAAAGACACATGGTCCATTTTTCTTATGGCTTCGCTCTCTGGTCGGACGCAATTTCGAATCTCTTCCCAATTCATGCCCAAGGAAATGGAAAAAATGGCGGCAGCGTCTAAGGGACTCGGATACTGGAAACTCGTCGTATACCGTATACTTGTGTGCCACCCACCGATTTCCCACCGACGTATCAATGGGTGCATCACTGCATATGTACTATGTAGTCTGGTGGTCCACTTTGTGATTTAGAGCAGAGGCGTTCTGTGGGGGGCTAGGGAAGGAAGCCCGTCGTATCTGCGCGTTGTTGAGCCAATTGTGATCGGGTGTGGTGCGACCCTATCCCATAGATAGAGTGACTGTGAGAGCTGTGAGGGATTACAGCCAGGATTCTGCAGCGTGTCATTGTGAATGGCGCTGTGGAGCGGACGTACTGAACGACGGTCGAAGCTCACCGGTGACGGTCAGCAGCTACAGGTTTGGAGTGGACGTGTGTGTAGGCTTGGATTGCCGTTCATAGGGTAGTGCTTAAAACGGAATTATCCGAACAAACCCAGCGTGATGCTAGTTTGTATCGACTGTCATCCATTGTCGCACTCATTCCCATCACTGTCTGCCCAACCAGTAACGACATAAGCTCGTGGCCTGGTAGTATTTCGAGTTTGTGTGATGTGGTCGCGATAAACCAAGTACCGCATGCAGGCTGTCCACCGTCCATTGTCCAGCGCTCAGTGTGAGCCAGTGTAGAGGCACAGGTCCTTGCGCTGATATAAACCGTGCAAACGTGGTCGTCCGTGCTTTCCCGAGCTTGTATCGCGCCAATACAGATATGTCCCTGTCTTCTCCTACTAAGTGTTTTCACCAGACGAAAGAAGGTTGTTTATGTGTGGTAGGTGCACCCAACAATGTTTTTACAATAGCTCCACTGGTGCAGCTCCTGGATTGATGGCCCTGTGTTGCATGATTTTTCGTGACGTCTCCATTACTTTGTTTTTGATGGTTGCCCTTTCAGATGAAATAACGATGAAAAGCGTCGGCAGTCACAGCCATCGGCGATAACAGTATAGTGCTCGGGAATGCCGTGGTGGTTCAGGAGTAAAGTGGCGTCTTTAGGAAAAAGGATTCACGTAAAATATACGAATATTATGTATTGTATACATCGATTAATAGTAATTCGGTTCTCTTTATCTCATGTGCAATTATCTGACCAAATAGCAGAAAAGCCATATGCCATATGCCATATGCGCCGCGCTGCCGTTGCATGGGAAACAAATGTGCAACGCAGCGTTTTATGACATTAAGAACATAAAAACAATTCACCAACGAAATACATTGCATAGACGGCTTTGTACGCAAAGCCATAGCGCACAAATCCCAGGACGTCTGACTCACGGCAGAGCAGTGACCGGACGCCTACGCCAGTCTCCGTACCGAGCCGTGCGACATCTACAACTGGACGGTCACAGATGTGCTACCATCTGGCAGCTGACATTGTAGCTGCAGGGAAGCAGCAACGAAAAACGGGCCGCGCATTGCCAAAGTCCAGCACAGCGATATACTTAATACATGCAAAGCTCATGAAGACCCAGAGGGATAGTAGTTTTGTGCGAAAACATTTGAATGGTCTGACAGACCCCAACAGTACAGTTCATTCAAAATGACCTCTCTCAGCCTATGACTTCCAACGGCCAATTCGGATTGATCATCCTTTCAAAACGCGAAGCCCATGAGAATGATTGCGACTATCAATAGCGCCCAAAGCCCCCCCCCCCCACACACACACCCTGCGCTCCACACAGCAACTGAACGAACCTCGCCCCTCCCTCAACAGCCCATCGGGCGGCGTCGGCTACACGGAGGCCCGTTTGAGGGAGCGGCCGAACAGGTCCTCGGGCGTCTCAAAGTCGAACCGCTCATCCTCTCGGGTCTCGGTGACGTGGGCGGGCTCCCCGGGTACGGCGTCCAACAGGTGGGAGATGCGGGACGGCCGGCGGGCCGGGCCGCCGCGCCTGCGGGACAGACGGGACTGGTCACTGTCACGGGACGGACGGCGGGACGGAGGGCGGGCCGGGCCGCCGCGCCTGAGGGACAGTCGGGACGGGTGTCACGGGACGGACGGCGGGCCGGGCCGCCGCGCCTGAGGGATAGACGGAGGGACAGGTGTCACTACGGGACGGGCGGCGACGGCGGGCCGGGCCGCCGCGCCTGAAGGGTCAGAGGGACAGTTGTCACTGTTATCCCTAATGTGACCGCCACCGCCACGAGACAGACAGAGGGATGGGTGTCACCGGTGTCACAGTCAACGCACGAGTAACGCAACGGTACGAGTACTCAGATCTTCGAAACTACGTGTCTTGTGAGTCATCATAAAAATCCGTTTTTGAGCGAACGAACACATCAATCCATTGTAAAAGATAAAGCTCGTTCAGTGTTTCAATAAGAAACGTGGTGCTACGCTTCGTAAATAATTCATCATTTGTGTTTCGGCTCATACGGGTAACCTGCACAAAAATACTGGTCACATTCACTGAGGTAATGATGGTCAAGTCATAGAACAAAATTAATAGAGTAATTTGCGTCCTATCAAAAGCGTAGTGTCTCACCCAGCACTCCACTTGTCTCCGACCATAGGATTGTCTCACCTGTCTCGCGCGCCGGGTGAGTGTCTCGGGTAGCACGTGCACGAGCACACAGACGTGTGAGAGACAAAACTCATCGTCTCCGGAGTCTGGTGCGACATCTGCGTGACCATGTTTCCTGAAACGAGGAGAGCAAGGGTGATAACAGCACTGCAGCGTGGGGGGCAGGCGAGAGAGAGAGAGATAGAGAGAGAGAGAGAGAGAGAGAGAGAGAGAGAGAGAGAGAGAGAGAGAGAGAGAGAGAGAGAGAGAGAGAGAGAGAGAGGGAGGGAGGGAGGGAGGGAGGGAGGGAGAGAGAGAGAGAGAGAGAGAGAGAGAGAGAGAGAGAGAGAGAGAGAGAGAGAGAGGGGGGGGGGGGAAGAGAGAGAGAGAAGGACAGAGATATGTCGTTTAAATATCGCTCGCATGTGTGTCCATTGTCATTTCAAATACCTATTATTTGAAACATTGCGCGCTTTTTCTAGCTGTAGATGGCCGTAGCCAAGTGATCCTATCCTTTATTTCCGTATGAGCGTACCGTTGATGATGAGCGACTCTCCGTCCAGCGAGAGGAAGGAGGAAGCCGGCTGCATGTCGTTATCCACCTGGTTCACGTCTTCTGTGTTCCTGTGTGATCGGGGGGGGGGGGGGGCACTAGTCAGTAGTCAGTACCGGCTGCATGTCGTTATCCACCTGATTCACGTCCTCCGTGTTCCTGGGTGACGGGGGGGGGGGGGGGACTAGTCAGCCTGTTGCGTGTTGTTGCGCTTCTGTGCATTTGTGCAAGGCCAATCAAACTATTATCTTCCTATAACAGCATGCATGGTTTGTTTCCAAATGTTTCAGGGGAACCATATCCCAGAATTCTTTACCTCTGTTAGTGCGTCAGTATCAGCCGGATCGTCTCCGGTCTGCTACAGCTTATCTTATCTGAACAGTCGCTCTCATACGTTCACCCCGCCCCCCCCCCCCCCAGTCGCTCCCACACGGTTACCCCGCTCCCACACGGTAACCCCCCCCCCCCCCCAGTCGCTCTCACACGGTTAGCCGTCCCCCAGCCGCTCCCACACGGTTACCCCGTCCCCCAGCCGCTCTCACATGGTCATGAACCGCAGCACCAGCAGGTTCATGCTAGCAGCCAGCACGGCCAGCCCGAACAGGATGAAGATGAGCGCCATCGCCACGTAGCCCGGCTTCTCCGAGAGCGCGTGGTCTTTCTGTAGGCCATCGGTGGCGCCAGGGGTACGTCACAGTCCCGATAGAACGAATCAATGATGTGATAAGTGAGATTGAGGCGACCATAGTTGATAATTGTTATGATGGTGCTTATAGCTTCTAGGGAGATTTTTACATGAAGAATCATCGAGAAGTTGATGGCTATGTTTGAGCGTCGAAACTGTGTTTCCGACCCTGAGCTTAGTATACATACATAGTAAGCAACAATGACGATGTCATTTGTGCCTAATGGCATAGTACAGCATCCGTAAGTAATAAGAGATAACGTGCTCATTGTCCCGACATTCACAAGTGGATAAGCGCATTAGGAAGATGTACGATCCGCAGTGTCATCCTTCAGCTGCCGGTGCAGGCGGCTCACCTGGAGGGCCACGTAGTCGCCGAAGCCGATGGTGGTCAGCGTGATGAAGCAGTAGTAGAACGACTCGAAGTAGCTCCAGCGCTCGTAGTGTGAGAACATGGCCGCCCCGGACGTGGTGATGATGGTCGACAGCAGAAACGTCGCCGCCATCAGGTCTATCTCGGTGATCTGAGGTAGACAGTAGACACCGCTCACCGCTGTTGTCAGTACGTCTTGTCGGTAAATTTGTGTTTGTGAGTATGTAGGTACCCACAGAATAAAGATTTACAAACGGCGTAAGTTTTGGCCTGAAATGTTCACTTCGGAGCTCGTTAGCATTATTGTAGTTCAGGTTGAAGGAAAGCGTTCAGGTATCCTACATACATGGCACCACTAGTTGGTTTAACAAGACATCTGAAAATGAAATGCTGACATTTTTATTGAGGAGGTACACACCTCCGGATTTTTGCGACGGAAGAGAATCTTCAGCTTTTTGATGATGATGGAGGCGCCCTTGTTGAGCCGCTCGCCGATGTGCTGGAACATGACGAGTCCCATGGGGATGCCGATGATGGCGTAGAGGATGACGAAGGCCTTGCCACCGACCGTGGCCGGCGTGCTGTGGCCGTACCCTGTGGACGACGGGGTGCCGTGGGCTCTGATCATGGGCAGACAGAGCCGATGAAGGCCGATTGGCGACAAGCGGTTGTCGCGCTGACTGTCATTGGGAAAGGAAAGGGAAATCAAGAGCTATCAGTGATACGAAGAGCCACACACAAGAGCCCGCTCATCCCGATTCGTTCCGCAGCCTTGTGAAAATAAGTCGTGCTGCTTACCAATCATGACCAGTACAACCGTGGCGAAATAGAAGGCGCCGATGAACTTCCACTGAGGCCCTGCTTTGTGCGGTTCCATCTTGATGATGGTGGTCTCCAGAACGCGGTAATCCTCATCGGTGATGGAATATTTCTTTTTCATTTCCTGCTCCATCTCTGTGGGAGTTCGAGACAACATGGCGAAACATCAGCAAGTCATCATTATTAGCCGGAAGAAAGGAAATCATACATATGCTACTTGACTTACTAGCACGAATGAAAACGGATCCGACCGCCTTACTGCTTCAAGAAAGCCAAGAAAGGACGGGCACTCTGTCACACTGCACGTTGTTTTCGTTGTCGCTTTTCGTTTCCGAGCTAAACAAATCAGGGGCCGGATCGACAGTCGCAATATTTCAATCTTCCAGGGTGGCCCTCCCCACCAGTCCCATGCGACTGTCCCAAGTCCCAACCTTCTCTCGACCCTCGGATCCGGCGCTTCAAATTATTATTCTTCAGATCTTCCATTTGACCCCCGACCGACCCGTTCCACATGACCCCCTTCTGTTCCAACGTCCACATCCACCAGTCCAAAGGACCCTCGGACCCTCCAGGCTCCATAAGACCTTTCCGACATTCCAACATGACCCTCCCGACCCTATACATACATGGCCCTCCCGAGTTCCACTCCACCCTGTTGACCTCCCACCGACCTTCCAGCATGATCTGGCTGTCCTCGTCCCTCTCCGACTCCAGCGCGTCGAACACGGCGGCGCCGATGAGCAGGAAGGTGAAGGTGAACACCACCAGCGACAGGGTGCGCACGTTCTGGTGGCTCCGCATCGCGGCGACGGCGGTGCGGTCCGCGCGGCTGCGGAGGTCACAGAACGGCAGGTCACACACAGAGCGGCAGGTCAGTCATAGGAACGGCAGGTAAAACACAGGAACGGCAGGTCACAATGCTGGGCAGTGGGTTAATGCAGGAACGGCACTCAAACACAGGTAGGTCAGGTCAATCACAGGAACGGCAGGTCCGTCAAAGGACCGCATGTCAAACAAAGGAACGACGGTTAAAACACAATTTCACAGGGACGACAAGTCAGCCACGGGACCGCAGGTCTAACACAGGATGGAAGTTCAACCACAGGATAGTCCCTGCTGTCATCACAACTCACAGCCATGATGAGTATCAAGGAAAAGTGAGACAAATTATATTCCCGGACGCAAGCTTCCCCGTCGAAACAAGTCGCAATAGAACACCGACAACAGCGCATGCCCGATGCCGGAAGTTCCGTGACGCCAACCACAAATTGCTGAAGCGACTGAGAAGGTTCAGGAAATAGGAGCGCTATAGCCGATCTCAACGCGGCTTTGAGAGCCTGTAACAGTGTGACACTCACCGACTAGGCTGGTTTCATCTGACCACCTCTGTTGACCCTGTGTCTCAGCGTGTCCTCGGGCTCCGACCGTCGTCCGCGACAGCTGGGCTGCGTCGCGGACGACGCGCGTCCCCAGTCGGGCGCCGATCGATCGTCGCCGCCGACGCTGCGGCCCGGGGAGAGCGCGGGGAGCCGGGCAGAGGACCGGAGCAGCGGGACGAGGTGCAACACGGCCGGCACGCCGATAGATTGGGGAGATGTGGCTCTGTCATACTGAGCGCTGCGGTATGTAGGAGCAGTTGAAGCTCACATTTCAGGAAAAGTTTACCTTCTATGTAGGAGCAGTTGAGGCTCACGTTTCAGGAAAAGTTTACCTTCTAATGTAGGAGCAGTTGAGGCTCACGTTTCAGAAAAAGCTTACCTTCGCCCCCTATCGACGTGGTAGAACATTATAACACCGGCACCGATCATCAATTGACGGGAGAAATCAAGCATTCGTACCTACTCGCAATTGGTAAATAGCGGTAAGATGCACTCTCGAGGAAGTCCTTACTCTGGCTCAAGCTCCCACGACGGACATTTCTCAAGAAATCCACTGCGGGTTGATAACGTTAAATGTTCATGTCAGATATTTTTTATCTCGTTGCAGCGTTTCAATGTTCGATGCCTTGCATCGCAAATGTCGCGTAATACCATCATAATAGTTAAACAACAATAACATAGCGCTTTGTAAATAACATGCAACTAAAGCCAGGTTTTGGTGCAACGCAACGCAAGCGCAGCCATCTTCTTCTACTTTTCCATTGTCATGCCAAAAATAACCGTCTAAAACAGGTGTATGAAATTGCTTCGAAAACTCAGAAATTTGTCACGGATATTGGATAGGGCAACGAAGATGTACTATTTTTTTCTTAATAGGAGTTGAGTACCTACGACTTTGAGCCATGCAGCGCAGACCCCTATGTCCCCATCGGATCATGATCTGCAATATCTGCGGGATGAGATCATCCTATATAGGGCCATTTTCTGGCGCCATGCCGAACAGGTACGCACCGATTGCATAATGCACATGTCTGTTAATCACTTTCCTGAATTTCGTCGTGAAAAATCCTTAGCTTCTTTAAGCTGCTATTTTTCAAGTAGCATTAAACCTAACGCTAAACGATCCAAGTTAATTTGTCAGCGATGGGCATTTAGATGTTCCATGGCCAGGGCCGATATAGTCCTTGCTGAAAGACAATTGGGCAAGGTGCAATATTGCACCCCGGCGAGATGGCGAGGCGAGGGACGAGAGACGAGGTGTCTGAGCCAACAACGTCTTAGAATAATGGGCTGCTGTAGATCATTGCATATAAAACGATATTCTAAACACATACAAGGTCTAAACAGACTGCATGCAAAAATCGATTCAGTACATATACTATACTCGACGTGCCTTGGTACGCTTAACCCTCGCCGGCCGAGGGGGGGGGGGGGAGTGCCGCCCCCCATAGTTTTTTTTTTTCGCGATAGCTCCAAACACGCTGTCGATAGAGAGCTGAAACTTGGCATACCTGACCTTTGATTCAAGCCGGATCTTTTGACACTAACCGCATTTTCGGGTCAGGTCAGGTCACTGACCTATGACGTCATAAGTGAACCTCTGCACGGTCTTCAGATGTCGCAACTTCGCAACGCCCTCACTGCCAGAGGAGGTTTCACAGGGAAATAAAATTTGCAGGATGTAGTATCCATTACGAGTCTCACAACTTGTGAATCTCGGATTTTTCCTAAAGGTCATATGAGGTCAGGTCATCTTCGTGACTTCACCATTATAAGTCAATGGGGAAAATGAAAACTGCTGCTATTCTGGCTCCGGGAACGATCTCCAACTATCTCAAGCACACAGAATCGTGATTTCATCCAGTCCTTGCAAGGTTAGATGCGTCACTTTTGCAATGTTGACCTTGCGTGACGTCATTTATGACGTCGTCAAGGTCATATTAGTTTTCGTCAATAGGGGAAGTTGGGGGAACGCCGAAGACTTTTTTTCTGACGCCCGTAGCACGCAAGGTAGACAACATAAGCTATTCTTGTTGGCGTCATTCGAGAGGCCAGTCTTTTGCCTTTCAAACATACCAGGCGCATTTGATGAATTCGCATACCGTTAAGCGCACAAACTAAAAATATCAAAGAAGTGACTTTTTCGGCGTTGCCCCGGACTGCGGGGAAAGCCGAAAATGGGAGAAATGATCTACGGGGAATGCCGACATTGATGTTTTGCCATTTTATCTCAAACTTTATCCAGAATTGATCAAAGCTGACACGCGTTTTAAGAGCTTGAGGACGCGGTGCACACTGGAAGTTATAATTGTGTGATATAATAAGAACATGCCAGGTAAATCATTCCTTATAGGTAACAGGCCGTTGTGTCGGTTGAAAGTGTAATTTGTGTGACTTAAAATACGCGTTGCTATTCTACAGCAGTAAAGTCCACGTAGCGTGCTTTTAACACGTGCGTAATCGCACGTTTTCGGCATTACCCCAGCCTGCCATACTTTCATTTGCAGGCCCATAACTTTTCAACGTGCTGTATAAATTTCAAATAGGCAGCACACTTATGCAAAGACATGCTAAAGATTACTTGACCGAATTGGCCAGACAAACGGTAGCATAATGAGTAAGAAATGCAGCTTCAAAGGCGCATGTAGTACACTAGGGAAACGTACCTTGAAAACGCTCTTGGCGCCCTCACAGTCGAAGTATTCCGAATGACGACTCGTAACAAACATGCGATAATTGTAGTCACTTAAGCTTCAGAGCATCACTGACAGGTGGCATCCATGTCTTACGGTTTTCGAAATATCTCGAATTTCGGCTTTGCCCCAACTCCGGCATTGCCCCAACTTCCCCTAACTCCCGATCAAATTGAGCTAGCGAGTCGAGAAAGCCACCAATGGACTCAGGAAGACCTGCCAAATCGAATGATATGCGACATGTGACCTCTTTCGACCAACTTCGTGACCTGGGGGCGCTGACCTGACCTTGACCTGAGGTCAACACCCTAAGTTGACCTGACCCAAACAAAAAGTATATCATTCGACGCGCCTGAGCGAGGCGAACACGATGCTGCCAAAATCGGCGCTCTGTGGCCGTTTTTGCGAAGTTATTCACCAAAAACTGAACCGTACCTTGTGGCACTTGACCTGACCTCAGAGGTCACCGGTTGACCTAGGACCTTAAAATCGGGTACCAATCTCTGCGTCTCGTAACGGCGCACACGCTCGTTTTTTTCTGCGACGCGCTAGCTCCACCAGGGGCGAAACGGCGACGGGGGGGGGGGGGTCGTACCCGCCCCCTCCCTCGGTCGGCGCGTATGTAGAAAACCAATAGGTCCGGCGAGGGTTAAACCCAGGAGCCACTAGTGATAGTGGGACACGCTTATGCTCCAGGACGGCGCAGGGAGGAGGGCCGATACTGAGACTGTGTCCAGCGCTGCTTCTCACGGCTGCCGCCCGCAGCGGTCAGTGGTAGTAGGTAGATGGCCCGGCGGGTCAGCCACTGAGTCCAGCGGCGCGCCGGCGGCCCCGCAGCTGACTCGTCCCCAGGTGCCTGAAGCGATGAAGCGATCCTGGTCGGGGCTCGGGGCTCCGGCCCCGATTCCGGCCGGTACACCTGCAATGTCAATATCTTATCTGCACATATTCTGATTGAACTATGTGCCTATACTGATGGGTATATTTCGCAATGGACATCGAACAAAAATATGTAACCACTAACCAGCAACCAAATGATTTTTCGAGCTCCTTGTGAATACATTGATTCCGCGAATCGAATGCATTATTTCAAACTAACACCCAGGGGCGGATCCAGCCGATCCGTTTGGGGAGGGCAAAAGTTTAGCCGACCATCGTAGACCCCGACCCACCACCGCGCCAGTGACCAAGTGACTACAACGCCAGTAGGGTAGCCCGGGGCAAGTCGCCCACCTCAATAGAAAATGCATATATCTCATACGTTTTCCTTATTACAAACGAGTTTGTGATGCTATTTTATCAATTGGTTATTTATCTTGAATGTATGCAAGAGCTCAGTGTTCCTGATGAAGAGAAGTTGTTCATTTTTGCGATTTACTACAAAAGGTCATGTTACCCATATACGAGGTAAGATGGTGTAAAATGTCCTATGTTAACCCGTGCGCAGCCGCGCTGGGGCTCCTGGATTTTCACGACCCTGGGGGATGTTTGAACAAATGAACACCCATCTACCTTCTAACTCGGCTCCTGGGCCACGTAGCAAAACGCGGTAGGCGGCGTTTGAAAGATCGTCAAACATAATGACCAAATAACCCCAGTCACTTTTAAGGTCAAGTCAGAGGTCAGGTCACCAGAGGCCATCAAAGGTCAAATTCGACAATATCTAGGTCCAGTTTCGACAACTTTTGAAAAAAACCGGCGCATGACTCGGAAACGAATAGAGCTAGAGCACACCAGAAAAACTGATTTGAGGCCTGTTATTGCTCTTTCTGGACAATTCCCTCAGATTGGATCTCAGATGAATGGCTTAGCCTCTAGGGGGAACTGCCAAAATAGACGATTTTTACGGGAACGGATTTTCTGCGATAACTTTTGACTCAAACCTTGTAAGATTTTACTTTTACCGACATCGTGCTCCTCTCGTCAAGACGCGTCGAATGAGTTATAATTTGATCTTAAAGAGTGAACTTAAAACTTTGACAATTGGTCAAGGTCATGACCTGACCGGAAAAGGTCGTGTTGCATATCAGTCGATCCGTATTGTCAAGCTGAACACATCTAAGGTGTTTCTATTGCTCTAGATTGCCTCTATCAAAAGTTATTAGCGAACTGTTGCAAACTGTTGCACATCTTTCGTGACCTGAGATGACCTCAGGGACATAAGAAGGGGTCACGGGTGCCATTTTCAGGTTCACTGTGTCCTGTTTAGGTTGTAACTCGGTATTGTTAAGAATGACGTTTGTTATAAATTTAGCACGAACGTAATTCCGGGTGACGGGAGAATTTAGATGCCAAAGTTAACGTGCCCTTCAAAGTCGGACACGGCCTGTCCCATTCCTAACTTCAACTGGCTGCGGCTGCTCCCACCAACCGCAAACCATCCCCGTCAGGAGTCTCAAATGTCGAGCGCCGGAGCGACTCGAGCCCGGGCTCTCACTACCGGGACTCCATTGCTGCTTGACCAACTGAGCTAACGGACAGGTTTGCCCAAAACAGGCGCCTTTCAATTTTATCTTGACTTTTAGTGGAGAGGTCGCAAAATTGACCTAGCCTTAGGTCATCAATATAAAAAAAATCATGTGATTAACATTTTATACATAGGTAGGTACTGTTGCCCTTATAAACTGCTGAAAGTTTCAAAGCAATCCGTCACTCGGTTTAGCTATGGCAAGCATTGGAACTGTTTTTAGGTTATGTCACTTGACGTGACTTAGTGACTTCGTGACCTTGAGAGACCTTGGTCTGAAATTTTCAGAATACATGAAGAAAAAAAATGTAGAAAACGGCGGCTCGGAGCGCCGCCGTTTTTTTTTTTTACGCGGAACGCTCCACAGCGCTGAGGCTCCCAACAAACGACAAAACTGTGGATTGCATAGGTAGTTTCGAAAAGGGTGGTGGGCGTCTTACCCGACTGGGCATCTTTCCCTGTGTTACCCCACACCGTGGCCACACTGCATAATGCATAATGCATATGCATTCATTCAGTTCAGGGAGTTCCATCTATGTATTATCAGCATACCGACCCAAAATATCAGCAGCCAGTGGTCAGCTCCTTCCTTCGGAATGGCCGTCAAGGAAAGAAGCCCTGGTTTTCGTCCATATCGGCATCGACGCCGTATTCGATTTTCTCATCGCTACATGCTTTGGGAGGGGCAAAAAGATAGTCTTGCCCACACGATTTGGCTTTGGGGAGGGCAAATGCCCATTTTGCCCTCCCCTGGATCCGCCACTGCTAAGTGCTAACACCTGGATGTATCGCCCATAATTTACACTAGCAAGGAACACTTTAACCTGCGCCCCAGTGGCGGTCTCGGCCAACTTCGCCCTAGTGAGGGGGGGCATATGTTACCACCCACCTCTAACTCAAAAACTAAGAGGGCTAGAAAGACGCGGTAAAAAGCAGTCGATAGCTCTTAATGCGTACGTTTGAAAGTATTTCGGTCATTTTTCACCTTAGAGCAATATTAGGGTCACCAGAGGTCATCAAAGGTCAAAATTTGCCAATTGTCATTATATTTTTCAGAAAACATGCCGCTATCTCAGGAACTATGGTAGCTAGAAAAACGCATGATAGAACAATCGATAGCTTTTGAACTCTTCTTTTGAAAAGGTCATTATCAATATTGACTTCAGGTCAACGGTTTAGCGTCCAGAGGGCAAAAACTCCAAAAATAGCTGTTTTTACGAAAAGTGTTTTTCGCCAATAACTTTCGACTACAAAAAGCCACGACATTTCTAATGCCAGAATCGTGTTCTCCTCACCGAGACGCGTCGAATGAACTATAATTTGACCTTGAAAGGTCAACTTGAAAATTTGACCTCAGGTCAAGGTCATGACCTGACCGGAAAAGGTCATGTTGCATATCAGTCGATGCGTCTCAACAAGACAAACACAATGAGACCATCCCCAGCGCTCTATCTCTTTCCAATCGCGAGTTATTGGCAAAAAACTGTTTGTAGCCTCAAATGACCTCGGATGACCTTTCTAGAGGCTATCAGCAAAAATGACACCTTGGTCATCACGAGTGGACTAAATCATTGTGATTCTGAAATATTTGGACTGTTCCTATGCGTACACACGGATCTAGAGGCATTTTCATTTTTCTCCATTGACTTGTAATGGAAAGGTCATGCCACTGACCTGACCTTAGGTCACGGATATAAAAAATCCGAGATATGCAAATTGTAGGCACCCATAACAGCATGCGATCCACTAAGTTTCAAACCTTTCTGACAAACACTGCAGGCTGGACATGATTGCAAACTTTTTTTAAGGCTTGGTCAGTTAACTTGACCTGGTGACCTGACCTGACATGACCTGGGGTCAAAAATTTCACACATTGTCCAAAATTGATGTACCAAAAGCTACTCCAAGCGGCGCGGCGCTACGCGCCGCGGTTTTTTATTCACACGCAAAAAACGTGACAGGGTGGTAACATATGCCCCCCCCCCCACTGGGGCGAAGGTTATGAGAGGATTCCCTCGATATGGTAGTTGTGACTTCTTCCGCTACCAAATCTTGTTTGTAGACTTATTTGGTGAGGTAGCGAACCACATTTGTCGAAAATTGTATACCACCTAATGGATAATGATGTAAATAATAAACCAATTAATACAAATCAAATATATTCAAAAATTATATATTTGATTTGTATTAATTTTATTAATATTACTTATTAATTTTATTATTATTAATATTATTATTTTATTATTATTTGTATTAATTGGTTTATTATTTACATCATTATCCAATCTGTCATGGATACTCAATACCACCTAATACAGAAGAAAAGTTGCTACATTCTATTATAGATGTCGCTAGTGCACGGAGATGCTGCATAGCGATAACCAGTCAACACTAGCGCACTCTACGGCCAACACTGGAAACTTGTGGACTTGTTGAAAAATCCGGAACCTGAACCGGTGTCCGACAACGTTCGGCGCGTGTTCGTGGACTATCAAGTTTTAAACGTTTCAAACTGAACCCCTTCGTTCTTTGAAGTCAAGAATTTTCGAAGAGAGTTATTTTGATATAAAGAAGACGTTCGGATATTACATTCCTCGCTACAGTTTCTTTCGGGGGTGAAAGAAAACAGATTTAGTTTTTTATTGTTTCCTGCTCAACTCACAACTGCGAAAACTATGGCGTAAGTTAAACTTAAACTTAACAATAGTGAACTTAACAATAGGAGGATAAACCCAGAGGCAAGAAAAGTATTAAATTTCAAGGCACATTAGTGTTTTCACCCTCGCTCAGTGGGAGCCTTTCTTCTTGGACCACTGCATCACAACTGTATTGAAACAAAATGATCATGAACATTATTACATTATGCTGTGATAGAGGTGATATCAATGGCTTGAATAAACTTTGTCATACCTTACAAGTTTTTCATGAATCAAACCAAAAACTTACCTGACCTTAGCTAACCTAATGGCGAGTTAAACAACCAAAATGAGCTAACGAGCTGTTACAGAAATGAGTGATGTCATCACACAGATCAGCTATACACCTTGGCAGTAGTTGCCTTATTATTTAAAGCTGAAGCCATGAATGCGTTAAGAACTTGAGAGAAAGTGGGGTGTCTGTGGTAGAGCTTGAAATGTAGGTACACTGCTGAAGTATAGCTGGTCCCGTAGCTCAGTTGGTTAGAGCGTTGGACTCCGTGTGGTGAGAGCACGCGTTCCCGGTTATGACAGTCCGGGTTCGAAGCGCGACGGGCGCACGACATTTATGGGCCTCCTGACAGGTATGGTTGCGGTTGGTGGCAGGCCGTAGCCAGGCGAAGTCAGTGAGGGGACCCGGGACCGGCCGTGCGCGGCTTTGTGCGCACGTTAAACTTTGGTCTCTAAATTCTGCCATAGTATCGGAATTGCGCGATCGGAGGGTAGAGGGCAGGGTCATCGCAACAAGCTTTGCTTAGCGGTGGCTCTGTCCTTGTGAATCCTTCCCATCAAAAGGTTCGGACTAAATTTATAAAAAGTAATTTGAGGTGCCAGTAGTGGTTCAACTTTACATCCTTATCTTAAGAACTATTTGTCAGACACCCTGAAACTTGGAATATAGCTTACATGTACCATCATCCTTGCTGTTACAAGTTTATCTTTTGCTGTCTTCCTCTGGATCACCCCATATTTAACCCGCGCCCCAGTGGCGGTCTCGGCCAACTTCGCCCTAGTGGGGGGGGGGGGCATATGTTACCACCCACCTCTAACTCAAAAACTAAGAGGGCTGGAAAGACGCGGTAAAAAGCAGTCGATAGCTCTCAATGCGTACGTTTGAAAGTATTTCGGTCATTTTTCACCTTAGAGCAATTTTGGGGTCACCAGAGGTCATCAAAGGTCAAAATTTGCCAATTGTCATTATATTTTTCAGAAAACATGCGGCTATCTCAGGAATTATGGTAGCTAGAAAAACGCATGGAAGAGCAATCGATAGCTTTTGAACTCTTCTTTTGAAAAGGTCATTATCAATATTAACCTCAGGTCAACAGTTTAGCCTCCAGAGGGCAAAAACTCCAAAAATAGCAGTTTTTATGAAAAGTGTTTTTTGACAATACCTTTCAACTACAAAAAGCCACGACATTTCTATTGCCAGAATCGTGTTCCCCTCGCCGAGACGCGTCGAATGAACTATAATTTGACCTTGAAAGGTCAACTTGAAAATTTGACCTCAGGTCAAGGTCATGACCTGACCGGAAAAGGTCGTGTTGCATACCAGTCGATGCGTCTCAACAAGACAAACACAATGAGACCATCCCCAGCGTTCTATCTCTTTCCAATCGCGAGTTATTGGCAAAAAACTGTTTGTAGCCTCAAATGACCTCGGATGACCTTTCTAGAGGCTATCAGCAAAAATGACACCTTGGTCATCACGAGTGGACTAAATCATTGTGATTCTGAAACAGTTGAACTGTTCTGATGCGTACACACGGATCTAGAGGCATTTTCATTTTTCTCCATTGACTTGTAATGGAAAGGTCACGCCACTGACCTGACCTTAGGTCACGGATATAAAAAAATCCGAGATATACAAATTGTAGGCGCCCATAACAGCATGCAATCCACCAAGTTTAAAACCTTTCTGACAAACACTGCAGGCTGGGCATGATTGCAAACTTTTTTAGGCTTGGTCAGTTAACTTGACCTGGTGACCTGACCTGACATGACCTGGGATAAAAAATTTCACACATTGTCCAAAATTAATGTACCAAAAGCTACCCCAAGCGGCGCGGCGCTACGCGCCGCGGTTTTTTATTCACACGCAAAAAACGCGACAGGGTGGTAACATATGCCCCCCCCCACTGGGGCGAAGGTTAAAGGAAATAGTTCACTTTCCTGAAATTAGTATTTTGCTATGGATTTATGTTTTTTTTTATGCTCAAAATGATCAGAAAATAAAACAAAACGTTTCTGTAAAAATGATTATTTTCTATATTTTAGTATAAGAAGAACTATATTCTATATAAAATAATGTTTGACGCGGAAGCTTATTACGCGTTGACCAATCATATTGCGTAGGACAAACCCATCGGCTGTAAGCAGCATTCTGATTGGCTGACGATGACGTGACTGCATTCCTCAGCAAGGCACGCATTCCTCTGCAAGGCACTCTTTTCGGAACGAAAAATGGAATATCTTCGTCTAGGGTGATCGTTGGGCCGTAAAAGCTTCTGATTTGTGCTAGTCTCAGCGCAAGCAACTAAACTGCTATTCCAGTTCCAACCCCCATGTTAAAAGTGAACTATTTCCTTTAAAGAGAATAGTTCACTTTCACAAAATTAGTTTTTTTTACAATGGATTTATAATTTTTTATGCTCAAAATAATCAGCAAAGAAAATAAAACCTTTTTATAAAAAATTCTTTATTAATATAGGAAGAACGCAGTTTTAAAAGAGGGAAATGGTTCCTGCAACTTGCAAGGCACACATTCCTCAGCCAGGCACCTTTTTCGGGATCAGAAATGGAATATCTTTGCCTAGGGTGTTCAATTGGGACGTAAAAGCTCCTGATTTGTGCTTGTCTCAGCTCAAGCTAGGGAACTGCTATTCCAGTTCAAAACCCCACTTTAAAAGTGAACTATTTCCTTCAAAATCATCAAGCAAAGCCATCTGTTTAGATTGGTGGAAGCTCAAATTACTTTAGCTGTGGGCTGTACCTAATATTTTTTAAGAATAGGATAAGGAGGTAATGATGGTTTTGCATGCTTCACCAACTAAAATGGAGTGTGTTCTTTCATTATATATTTCTCAAATTTATGCAGGGTTGTTGGGGTGGTTATAGGCGTTATAGCACGGAGCACCTAAACCTTTTTTTGCATTGCTGGTGGCTGGCACTGCCAAACTGGATCAGAAAAGTATGAAATGATAAGCTGGCCCATTCTAAGGTGTGAAGTCTCACACATCTTGGTGTTGTGATTTCCAACTGAATGATAACAGTCTTTGAACTATGCTCAATTTTGTTCTTAGAAAATACCTACTATGCAGAAAACAAGCCCCATACGTCTCACAATCGCAGTCATGTGTTTTACTGTTTACACCTTAAACAATTTTTCATTGATAATCAGTTTGACTAAAATCGATTCAGGATATTGTTTGGGACATGCACAGACGAGAATAATTCCCATTTTGTATGTAGTTGATGCAGATTTAGCACAGTGATGTGACCCAACCGTAGAGAGACGTGCTGATCTACGGCCTACTGGGCTGACGCGGTCGGCGGTACTGGCTAACGCCGGAGAAAATTAGGCGTCTGAGACTCATGGGGACGGCAAGTGGACTCTGGTCGCTTTCTGGCAATATTAATGTTATTGTACTGTGCATTTCCATATTTTATGCCGATACAGCTTGTTGACTCTCCTGCCATAATTTGCGGTCTGACTTGGCATGTTCGTACTTGCCATCAATCAGGTCTTAAGAGCTTACAAAGTACAAAGATCAAAAGACCCTCTTAATCGTGCCTCGTCACGTGTTAACCGCTTGTCTCGCCCTGCGCAGCGCGCCGAAGCCGCGCTCCGAGATGAACCCCGAGGAGCTGGCCAAGATGGAGGAGGAGGAGTTCAACACGGGACCGCTCTCCGTGCTCACCCAGTCGGTGAAAAACAACACACAGGTGCTCATCAACTGTCGCAACAATAAGAAGCTGCTGGCGCGAGTCAAGGCCTTCGACCGCCACTGCAACATGGTGCTGGAGAACGTCAAAGAGATGTGGACAGAGCTCCCCAAAACCGGCAAGGGAAAGAAGAAGGTGGGTATGATTAGGTGTGATAGTGGTCAATTTTGATCATATTCTTTTGTGTACGATACGTCTCTTCAGCAGAGTTTGTGTTAGACCCGATAATTACAGTCAGTGTCGGCCCGAATAGCTCCGGTCACCACAGCTGTGTCCATCACAGCAAGAGGCGGTTCGCCCCGCTCGTAGACCTCGGCTGACATGACCTGTAACCACTGAACACTGACCGCAGATCGTTCCAATTGGTAGAGAATAGCGGGGCTTGTGCGACTGGAACTGAACTCTCCCCATCGGCCATCACGGTTGTCACTATCGGTGCGGGCCGATGCAGAAGGAATCCATTTAGATCTCGGCACAGGCTCGGCGAAAACGCTGGCAAATGACACTGGCCTGTTGTTCCGTATGCTGAGTGTAGTAACTACTGACCAAATTTCATATAATCGCAGCATGTACAACTCCCAAATACCCAATTATGCTGCAACCTTATTCGATCTGATAATCGCAACCCATGTTTCAGGCAAAGCCGGTCAACAAGGACCGCTACATTTCCAAGATGTTCCTGCGGGGCGACTCGGTGATCCTGGTGCTTCGTAACCCGCTGGCCACGGCCCAGGGCAAGTAGGGACGGGTCGGCCGGCTCTGTCCCTCCCGTCACTCACGCTCAGCGCGCGCGCATCATCTCACTGTACATCGTGCTATTTGTAACAATACATGTCCAAACAGTGTGGGTGTATGACGTCACGAGCGAGGTGAACTCGGGAGTGAACTAGTTTTTACATCGATGGGTAGCAGACACGAGTCTTTGACACATTCATATGTAGTCCTTGACAGTTCACAACTATGATACTTATTCGGAACTGCCGCTCGCAAAATCACATGATAATGATGCGAATACTGTTTGTGCGTAGTTACTTGGATTTGCTAGTGATCGCTCACTTATGGAAATGCTAATTTAAATGCGTCGTCTAATTCATAAAGTAGGTCGTTCGCATACTAGATAAAGGGTGATTTCAGTTTCTTGCAAAGTCCGGAAACGATCTCTCCAGTTGACGTAGAAGCAGGTATCAGCTGCTGGTCAGTGTGACGTCAAAGCGTCGGTCAGTAGCTACGCAATTCACTAAAGTGAACTGTAACCACAAGTAGGTTGTCTCATCGTATAGCTGTTAATGCACGGCAGTCATGTATAGCCCCAGATAGTTTGTGATACCACTATACGGCCGATGCACGGTCCCAGTATTCATTCCGTTGTTCGAATCGGTATATTCAACTGTCGGCGCGCGCTCCCAAAGCGCACATCTCGCTCCGACAGATCAGTAATTGCGAACACAGGACAAAAAATCGTGTATTGGACAACGGGCGCCCGCCGGGAGCGGCACCTCGAGCGAAACAGAATCGCGGGCCGGCGGGCCGGCTCTCCATCCCCACCTCAGTCGTTCTGGGCGATCGCCGTCAAATGCGCGTCAATCTCCGCCTCTGTCAGCGTCCTGCGAAGAGCGGTGTTGGTTAGAAACTGTCACGAGCTGAGACATTGACAGGCTGACACTCGACAGTCGACATGCACGTTCTGGTAAGTGCTGCAAAATGGCTAGCAGATATGACACGAAGTGAATCGAGCTAGTGAACGCGCACTGATATTACACAGGTTTACAGACATGTACCGAAACGGATGCAGGTTTACAGAAAGATACCGATACGGTCACGGGTTTAAGACACATAATGAAGAACCTACTACCGGCGAAATACGGTGATGGGGAAAGTGTTTGCATATGTTTGCATTTGGCCGAATGATCACAATGTTAAAGATCATAAACCCAGGCTGGGTAATGAAAGGTATCTCATTCTCACCTAAATTCAGGGTTGTCCTTGGAGACCACGGCCACCTCGATCTCGGTCGGTTTGAAGTCGGCCGACAGCACAGACGACAGGGCCGTAATCGCCAGCTGAAGGAGAAAAAACAAACACATGGCTCAATAATCTGCACAAACCAGTTACTGCGAAACGTGCAAACTGGGCCTTTGACGGGCGTCGAAGAAAACCACGTATCGCCCTGTGTGCACTCATGAATGGGCCACCTATAACGGCAGTTATCCGCAGGAAGAACACTTATCCTCAAACATCCCACGTATGTACCTCTCCAGCCAACCAGTACGGGTCCGTAGACTTAACATGTGTATAAGACTCACGTGGATCGCCTCAGTGTGCTCGAAGTCGGTCTTCTTCTTGAGCTTCTTCTCGAGGAAGGCGTTGGCCTCGGTCTGCTTGACGCCGACGCTGCAGGCGCGGAAGCCGCAGTAGTAGCCGGCCGGGTCGGCCTTGTACACGCACGCCCCCAGCTCGTCGTCATAGGCGATCAGCGTCATACCTGTGCGCGCGGCGACAGGCAGCGTTAGTGGACGACATGTGCATCGGAAAATCACGGTACAATATGTAGGGGCTCACTGATGAGGGTGGTCTGGCCTGCCAATGATAATCAAAAGGGAATGAATAAATTATTATCCCTTATCAAAGTTTTCAAATTATTATCCCATTTCGTCATACCCTAAAGGTTTATTTGTGACTTTGTTGCTCGTGCCCCTCGATAACTCATGGTACGTCCCCCGTCAGTCGGTGGCGCCGGCGTCACTCACAGCATCCGAGCGGCCGCAGCTCGGCGTTCTGTGTGTACACCTGCGAGATGTCTGCCATCCGTTTGCAGAGCATGTCGACGGGGATGTCGTGGCCGTACTTGTAGCGCCAGTTGGCAGCCTCGATCCGCGCCCGCTGCACCTGTACAGAGAGCGGGGAGGGTCAGGGACAACCACAATAATGACGGACGTTTGCAGAATAGACAGACGCGTCACTACATCGCTTCTCCGAGAATTCAACCTCAATTAACAAGCGTTCCATTTTCTGATGGCTGCTGACATTGCGCAAAACACCATTAAAAAAAAAAACTTGACTTGATCAAACTGTTTTAAATTGTTATAACTCGAGTTTTCACCAACAAAAGATTTATGACCCGTCGCAGGCCCAAGTCGCGTGACTGACCGGGTTCGGATGATGCCCGCTTTACCCCGCGCGCGCACCGCCGTAGGTGCCGCGGCGGCACGTACCATGGCTCTGGAGTCCGCCGTCATGCCAGTCATCACGCAGCCGATGTGCTTCGTGATCTTGAACATGTGCGTGATGGTGGAGGCATCGAACAGCTTGTCCTGCAGCGCGGGAGCTCGGTCAGAACTTCAAGATGGCACGTACCAAGACATTGGACGGTGCAGCATGGCATCATACGTGTATTTGCGACATGACAGTTGAGCCAGCCGGGAAAATGTTTTTTTTTGTCTAGGATGCCAAACGACCAGGCCACTTTGAAGATGAAGTCCAAGTAGTTAAAACATTATTAACCTTACCTACTAACCTACTAACCTTCAACCAACCAACCTACATACCTACAACCTACTACCTACATACCACTCAGACTTCATCTTCATGCATACCAAGAGATGCAGCTAATTTGATGCCAGGGCTCTTAAACCCCATGTCATTCTATTGTTTCACTTACAGGCACTTTCTTCTGTGTCACTGCCACTGCTGTATCCTTTCCCTTCAGTGCAATTGATGTGAGGCCTCCTTGGTTGACAGCTTTGAAGGCATACTCTGCAATAAAATGACATGCCTTATCATTCATTCATACCTATTCAGACAGTGTTACCTCACAGAGATTAACCAATGTCCTCCCAGAAACCTGGAAATAGTAATAGATATTGCAATCATTCTGTGTGTGACCAAAAGGATTTATGCAGAAAAAGTCATGTTTTCATCATACTCACCTACTTGGTAGAGCCTTCCCTCTGGTGAGAAGATAGTAATGTGACGGTCGAAACCAGCACTACTTCCGCGTGACATTCTTCAAAATATTGGGAACCTGAAAATATGAAATTGAAATATAAAGTAAAGCAACAACAAGCAATGAAACTGGGTAGTCATAAATCAGGTATCACACTTGTTTTTTGCAACCAAGGAAAGGTGCTATGCCCAGAGATGCTTCCTTATCAAACTGAAACCAAACAAAAACCTAACCGAGCCTGACCTAACCTACAACGCCTACAACCTACGGCATTAGTAGAGCAGACGTCACACGATGGTTTTCCAACCAAGGAGAAGCGCCATACCCGGTGGTGCTTCAGGCTTCTTTCTAGGAAAACCTAAACAAACCTAACCTAACCTACAACCTACAAACCTAAAACCTACAAACCTACAAACCCTTGCCTAAAGGCTACAGCCTACAGCGTCTGTCCTTGGTTCACATTTGGATTCTTAATTTCACAAAACACCGTTATTATTCCCTCAATTGTTTGTCCTGTCATAACCACGGATACTTTAACAGATAGGACGGTGCAAAATTCAAAATAAACTCACCAATGTTCCCAACGGCGCTCAAAAACAAAAATGCCACCGGCGCTGATATATTTCGGATTTCGGTCAAAAGCGCCACAATGACAGAGCAAATCTCATTGTTTGTTGCTACCAAATTTGAAAAATATTCCTCTCCATACCGCATTTCTGATGAAAGTTTTCTAAAACTTTTCAAAATGAAATTCTTAATTTAAGACTAGAGCATGATATTGATCAGAATTGTTGATTTTTCTTATTGTTTCTGCATTGCCAGGTCATGGCAACATTTGAATTGACGAGTTGAAGACGAAACTCCGGAAAGACTCGATATGCTGCCTTACAAGAAATACTTCAAATATGGTAGCAAATTGGAGGTTGTGTAAGTGGCTGATCAAAGACAAATGGCTGCGCAATGTATGCCGACGCGGAGAGTTTACTATAGGTTGGTTGGGTTGGTTGGTCGGATATGAGGTTTTGATTAAAATTAAGGGTTTTACAGCCGCTGATATGCATTTTCTTAATTTCACACTATATTTACAATCAATCCACTCAAGGTGCCTTTTATTTATATTCAACGCTTCATGATTCAATGGTGGAAACTTGGCAAGGGTTGAAAAGGGCGTCGTTCTCAGTAAACGCAACCTACCTTCCCGTGTATCAAGCTTAAATTTTTATGGATGATAGACACATATAATTGAAAGGCAATGTTTGTTTTACGCTTGTGATGAACAGTTGTTCCATCGAAATACAATTCATCTGGGGGTCTGGCTGTGGGATGAAAAACATTGTTGTCGCCTTCCATGTTACGCTGTACAACTGTCAACTGCTTTGCAAAGAGTGCTGCATACAGTTCCAGGACATTGCCTTTGAATATACAATGCATAGTGCAGCACAGTCCATAAAACACAATGCTATTTTAATGATTATGCTCATTGAATAGAGTTTTGAAGCAGATCTTTTCCTGTTGCTCCTCCTGAAATATGTCTGTTTCCCTATCATCATAGGGAAACATACCGGTCTCTCCTGCCACGGTAATGATGTCCCTGCTGTCCAATGGCCTTACTAATTGTGCCATATATTTGGTAGCACTAACTCATCCATGGTCATGCAATACCAATACGCATTCACCTTCCTGATGCTGGACCCAGTTCCTGACCTTGACCGATCACTGATGCTTTTTCTCAGTCTCTCTGCATTCGAGTTTGGTTCGGAAGTGGAGTAGAACCCACTACAGGATCAGTGGCTTTTTCAATTACAATTTTGATATGTTATGGGTTATGAAAGATAATCCTTTTATGAGCTTTAACCCGCGCCGGGCCGGTGCTCTGAAATTCCGCGCCGGGCCGCGGGGGGGTGTTTGAACACCCCCCCCCTTCTAACTCGGCTCCTGGGCCACGTAGCGACACGCGGTAAGCGGGAATCGAAAGAACGTCAAAAATAAGGACGAAAACACTTCAGTCATTTTTTGGGTCAGGTCAAAGGTCAGGTCACCAGAGGTCACCAAAGGTAAAATGTTGACTATTTCAACATTTTGGAAACTGCCAACGGCTATCTCGGGAACCGATAGAGCTACAGCGCCTCAAAAAAGCGCATTCGATAGCCCTTTTACAGACCTTTCTGAGTAATGTTCTCAGATTTGACCTCAGGTCAACGGTTTAGCCTCCAGAGGTCGAAAACTCCAAAAATAGCCGTTTTTACGAAAAACGTTTTTTCGGCAATAACTTTTGACTCAAAAAAGCTATCACATTACTTTTGCCAGCATCGTGTTTCTCTCGTCGAGACGCGTCGAATGAACTATAATTTGACCTTGAAAGGTCAACTTGAAAATTTGACCTCAGGTCAAGGTCATGACCTGACCGGAAAAGGTCATGTTGCATATCAGTCGATCCGCAACGTCGAGCCAAACACATCTAAGGCGTTTTCAGCGCTCTAGCACGCCTCTATCAGATGTTATCATCGAAAAACTGTTAGATTCTGTTCGTGACCTGAGATGACCTCGGGGACATAACGAGGGGTCACAGTTGCCATTTTCTGGTTCAGTGTGTCTATTTTACCTACATCTCGATGTTTGAGAGTGTCTACAGTGGCGTATCCAGGATCTTGAAAAGGGGGAGGCCAAGCCTGCTCAAGGGGCCCCACCCTTACCTCACGGGCCCCAGTAGTGGCGTACTTAACCCACGCCCAGGTGCGGTTCTTTGCCACTTTCACCCATGTGAGGGAGCCCTTTTAGGCGCACTCGGCAATCTAAAAAAGAAAAGAAAAACGAAAAAGCCATTGATATCGATAGCTCTGTACCTATGTACTTATGTAGTGTACCTACGATTTATTTCAGAAGTAGGCTTACAGTTTTTTTTTTTGCTTTGGTCGTCGCCGGGGCCACTAAAGATTATCAAAAGCAGAATGTTTTGTCATTTTTTACGATTGTAACATTTTTCAAAGGGCAGATGTCAATCTCTTAGTGTCTTGCGCTGGTTGAGGGCTGATACCCTTAACTTTAGAAGGGCCCGACTCGGGTTGAGCTCTGATCTAGACTCTGATGGCCCTATGTTGCCCACATTGGCCTCACTCACACCTCTGAAGGCTCATTCTGGCCTCTGAAAGCCCCACACCGGCAACAGAGTGAACCTCGCTGGCCTCCGGGCCCCATAATGGCCTCAGGAGACCCATGCTATGGCTGACCTCATAGGGCCCCCGCTGGCTCTTTAGAGTCTTTGAGTCAGTCTGACGACCTTATGCCGCTCTCGAACCCACGCCGGTCTTTAGAAGCCCATGATGTCCGAGGGTCCCACGCCGGCCTTTAAGGGCCACTCCTACCTCAGGGGGCCCAAACATGCATAAGTCCTGAAAAGTGGCCGCCGAGGCCCTCGAGGTGGCCTCTAATGGCCCGACGCCAGCCTATGAGGGCCCGCGCTGGCTTCTGAGGGCCCAGCACCAGCCTCTGAAGTCTGAAGTCAGATGACAGATGGTCCCACACTGGCCTCAGAGGGTTCACGCTGATCACAGAGTGCCCCACACGGGTCTAAAAGGGCTCCACATTGTCTTCAGAGGGCCCCAAGCTAGTATCGGTGGCCAATGGGCCTCAGTCTGACCTAAGAAGGCCCATGTCGCTGGGGTTAAAAGACCCCACGCTGGACATAGACGGCCCCATGCTGGGCATAGACGGCCCCATGCTGGACATATAGGGTCCCACACTGGCCTTACAAGGCCCCACACTGGCCTTACAAGGCCCCACACTGGCCTTACAAGGCCCCACACTGGCCTTAAAAGACCCCACAATGGCCTTAGAGGGCCCCACACTGGCCTTGGAGGGCTGAGCGCTGGCTCCTTAGGGCTCTACACCAGCGTCAAAGGATCCCACGCTTGAGTCCGACTTTATTTATGCTTGGGCCAGTACTTTAGATGAGGCCCTGAAGGTCGTTTCTCGGGACACTCAAGCAGGCACGTACCCAGGATTTCGCCCAGGAGGGGGCCACCTGCTCTCAAAGGGGCCCACGGATCACCCGGATGCCGCTGTCAACCTCGGAGGCGCCGGTGTGGGGGCTCTCAGAGCCGCCGAAGTAGGCCCTTAAGAGGCACTGGTGTGGGGCCCTTAGAGGTGGCAGTGGAGGCCCTCGCAGGCGCCGTTGTGAGGGCCCTCAGAAACACCGGTGTGGGCCGTGGGGCCATAGCAAACGGGTATGGGGCCCTTACAGCTGATCCCTTATTGGCCGGCAAGAGCCCTCAGGGCCGGCAAGGTCCCTCAGAAACTGGCGTAAGGCCCTTCTGGAGATAAGTGTGGCTACACAAGAGCCCATTGGGTGTTCTCACAAGCCCTGTGGTCTCCTTTCCAGTTAAAGCGTTGCCAGCGCTGGCCCTCTGCCGCCAATTGGCACCGCAGGGCCTCTCGAGCTCGAGGGGACCCTAAACCCTATAACGGACACGTGCCCCCTCGCCCCTGGCCATACCATTGAATCCGAGTGATCACGGGCCGTTCAGGTAATCAGGGGCCTCTCAGGTGACCAGGGCCTTTCAATTGACCAGGGGTCTTTCAGTTGACCAGGGGCCCACCAGGTGACTTGGGGGACCCTCTGATAACCAGAGGACGGTTATACCAGGGGCTCCATGGGTAACTAAGGGCCTTTATGTGACTGCAGGGGCCCTTCATATTACCAGGTACTCCCCGGGTAAACATGCGCCTTCAGGTGACCAGGATTTCTTCAGATCACTGGCCAGGGGTCACCCAGGGGATCAGGAGCCCCTTAGATAACTAGGTGCCCCTCAGGTAACCAGGGGCCCCTCAGATAACCAGGGGCCCCTCTTATACCAAGAGGCCCCACTGGTAACCAGGGGCCTCTCAGATAATCAGGGGCTCTCAGGCAATCACGGGTCCCTTAGGTAATCAGGGGCCCCTAAGGCAAGCAGCGGCCCCCCAGGAAACCAGGGGACCCTCAGGTAACCATGGGCCCCTCAGATAGCCAGGGCCCCTCAGGTAACCAGGGCCCCCGTAGCCAGGGGCCCCTCAGGTAACCAGGAGTCCTTCAGATAACCAGGGACCAATCAGGTAACCAGGGCCCCTCAGATAACCATGGGCCCCTCAGATAACCAGGGGCCCCTCAGATAACCATGGACCCCTCAGATAACCAGGGACCACTTAGGTAACCAGGGGCCCCTCAGGTAACCAGGCCCCCAACATGGTAACATGGCCCCCTTGGGTACGTCACTGCACTCAAGTGACCCAAAGGGCCCAGTTGCATGTTTGATGCCAAAGGGGGAGGCCATGGCCTCTTGGCCTCCCCCCTGGATACGCCACTGAGTGTCTAGAATAGCGTTCGTGCAAAACAGGCGCTTTTCAATTTTCTCCCATTGACTTGTAATGGAGAGGCCGCAAAATTGACCTGACCTTAGGTCACCGATATCAAAATTCCGAGATATACATTTTATAGATAGTGTTGCTCTTATCAATCGCTGAAAGTTTCAAGGCAATCGTTCAGTCGGTGTAGCTATGACGAGCATTCTAATTTTTTCTGAGGTGAGGTCACTTGGCGTGACCTGGTGACCTGACCTAAGGTGACCTGGGTCTGAAATTTTCACAACATGTGCGGAAAAGATGCACAAACAGGTGTGCCAAAAACGGCGGCGCTCCGCGCCGCCGTTTTTGAGATATCTGCGAAAAACCGCAAGGGGGGGTGTTCAAACACCCCCCCGGCCCGGCGCGGGTTAATACACTTGCATATTTTCATATTTTCTCATAGTTGATTGCCTTTTTACTCCACAGGACATAGCATTACCTATTGCTGAGCTACAACAGCTGTTCACAAGGGGAAGCCACTCTGCTGCGATCAGTGAGCGGCGCTGTCCGTGACTGCCATGTCGGCCGATGCTGCCCCGGCCGGCGGCTCGGGCGCGGGCGAGGGAGCCGACGAGGGCACCGTGCAGCTGACGGTCAAATGGAGCGGCCAGGAGCTGCCGGTGCGCCTGCTGGCCACCGACACGGTGGCCGACCTGCGTGACGCGCTGTGTCTGCAGACGCGCGTGCTGCCCGCCCGCCAGAAGCTGCTGAACCTGAAGGTGGGCGGCCGGCCGGCGCCCGACTCGGCCGAGCTCGGCGCGCTCGCCCTCAAGCCCGGCGCCAAGATCATGATGATGGGCAGCCCGGAGGAGGCGATCGCGGCCGCCAACGAGGTGCCCGAGGGCGCCGGCGCCGTCATGGACGACTTTTTCGACGAGGAGGGCGAGGTGCCGGTCCACCTGCGGCCCGAGTACATCGCCAAGGTGGAGCGCCGCGTGCGCGACTACAAGGTGGAGATAAAGAACCCGCTGCGTGAGGGCAAGCGTCTGCTGGTGCTGGACATCGACTACACGCTGTTCGACCACCGCAGCGTGGCCGACTGCGGCGCGCAGCTGATGCGGCCCTACCTGCACGAGTTCCTGACGTCCGCCTACCGCGACTACGACATCGTCATCTGGTCGGCCACCTCGATGCGCTGGATCGACGAGAAGATGAAGCTGCTGGGCGTCAGCAAGCACCCCGACTACAAGATCGCCTTCCACCTGGACAACCTGGCCATGATCACGGTGCACACGGAGCACTACGGCGTCACCGAGTGCAAGCCGCTGGGTGTCATCTGGGGCAAGTTCCCCGACACGTCGCCGCGCAACACCATCATGTTCGACGACGTGCGCCACAACTTCCTGATGAACCGGCAGAGCGGGCTGCGCATCAAGGCGTTCCGGCAGGCGCACCAGAACCGCGACAAGGATGTGGAGCTACTGCTGCTGGCGCGCTACCTGCGCTCCATCGCGCAGCTGGACGACTTCAGCACGCTGCGCCACCGGGACTGGGAGCGCTACCTGGAGAAACACCCGCCCCCGGACCCCTGAGACGGCGCTAGTAGGCCAGGTGCGTGTGCTGTGGGCTTCATGGTAACTGAGGGCATCTAGGATTTTCATCACCTATTTTGTGACTCCACTTATTGGTCTAACGAGCATACTACGTGATTACAGTTGCAAATAGCTTTGCAGTTCTGTAACAAATAACTGAAGCATTCATATTGGATTTGCTTTTTTTCATAGAACAAGGAGCAAGTGTGGGCACTGGGCAATGTTTCCATTTCACTGTAATCATTCGGCTTCGAAAAACACAAACATTGGGTGGCATTGGCAACTATCACGTTCACGTGACTTTCGAGATGCTCAATTATCACCTGCTAACACTCATCTGTTTTGTTTCAGGCGGGGTGGCGACGGTGCACGGCGGCGATGCCGCATTTCCAGTGTTCGTGGATTCTCAGCCCAGCCCACCAGTTCACCATATCACTTACCGAGCCGACCTCTGCCTGGGGTCGGCTGCCGCCGGCTCTACTGATCGCCGGGGGCGCCCCTCCCCTATCTGTGGCTGTGGTGAGATGTGACCGACGTAGGGGACAGTGCCGAGGGTGATAACTATTGTGCAGAGGGCGAGACTCTGTTGGACCGGGACCGGTGGTAGACGGAGACGGTAGATCGGTGCACGGTGGCATCCGTCCATGAGTTTACCGGGACAGAGTGCTCGCTGACAGACGTGACAAAGTGCTCGCTGACAGAGGTGACAGAGCTGAGGGCGGCCGCTGCACCCACGCCGGCCGAGTGGCGATAGACCACGACTGGACGGTACGACTCTGCCGTACCGAACTCTGCCGGTCGGCGGCGCCACTCCGCGGCGCGGGCCGCCGCAGCGCTACTGTGTCGTTATACAAGTGTACGCTGTTGTAAATGTCTTGATCCGTGATGCTGTAAAACCTGGTTGTGGGCTACGTCGGATGTTGTCGCACATAATGTACTGTCATTTGACATTTTCATCCAAGAATTGTCATCGTTGCTGGATGTTTTTGACTATTCCACAGGTTGTATATTGATGTTTATCAGTATCTCGTAATTCAGCTTGCGTCAAACGCAGGATGCGCGTCCCTCACATTTTATCAGTTGGCCGTAATACAGTGTGAAAATGTCTGCTGGCTCATTAATAGGTGGGTTGACATGCAGCTGGTCCGATGAACATATCTGGGCGCCGTAAGAGAGGTTCCGGCTTAGAAATAGAGGTTCCGGCGATACTGGTGCTGCCGCCACCGCCGTAGCGGGAACGATCGACACTAGAGCTTCTCATAGTCGCCGCTTCGTTGACAGATGATGGTTATGGTGATAGAGAAATCGCAGCTGGGACGACAGAATTTGTCTTGACAGACACTTGCCCCGATCGCACGGTTTCTGATCGGGGATTTTTACAGTATCGTGTGTTCTGGTTGTTAAAATTGTTCGGTTGGTTGTTACCTACTTGCATGCTTATTGGTTGCTTAGTTTGCAAATGCGGTGAACCGTTTCATCCTCCGGTGTCGAGGCTCTTCAAACCGTCTGAATAATTAGCTAATGCCGGTTAGTTCATATTACAAGAATAGGGCATCGTTTGCTTTGTGATTGACTCAAAGCTGTGTTGCGTGTAAAACTGACTGTTTCAAGACTGATTTGGCTGCATTTGGCCTTCATATTTAATTTGGTCATCCTAAGCTAAACGGTATAGTGTATACAGCTCCGGATAGCTGCATGAACATGCATTATTCGATGGTGTTTCTCGAAGCTTTTATGATAGTGAGCCACTTATCAACACCATTTGGTTTTACGCCATTGACCCCATTTTCTTGAAAACAAAAAGATGAGCAAAGGGCCAGGCGGTGCAAAACAACAAACGTAAAAATTCGCTTCAAAAGTAGCTGCCGAAGATGGTCGTTGCCCATATGAACCGAGCACAATGCAAGGAAATCATTAGCGCGCGCAGCTGCACACAACTGAGACTGACGCCAAAGGAGCTGTATTGATGTTGAATTGAAGGAAAGGCGACTCTGAATGGCGGGTGGGTGGCAGAGACCTGTCGTTCGCTCGTTAGTCCGGCTAATACCCTCTGTCCGTACTGACATTCTCCCAATTACCCCGAACAGAGAGACGGAGAGCCGGCGCGACTGGCAGTACAGTCTGAGCAGCTCTGCTCCGGCCGGCCGTGGACGCCTAACAAGTCACCCGATACCGGCCATTGGTGGCCGCTATTCCTGTCTGAAAACGCGCGAGGCTTGGGAGTGGTTTGGTGAGATCGTGTAGTTATTATGATGTTATGGATAGACTTAGCTTCGCTTACCAGGACCTTCCCCTAGTTTGACAAAATCGCTATCACGTCGCATTCGATGAAGCCAGCTTCGCTCGGCATGGACTCTTACGTTGAGTCTCAATTACTACCATGAGCTTTCTGTAGGACGTTTCACATTAACTCGCGCCGGGCCGGTGATCCGCGACTTTTCCGCCGGGCCGGGGGTGTCTGACCCCCCCCCCCCCCGTCTAACTCGGCTCCTGGGCCACGTAGCGACATACGGTAAGCGGCATAAAAAAACGTCAAAAATTATGACGGAAACACTTCGGTCATTTTTTGGGTTAGGTCAAACGTCAGGTCGCCAGATGTCATCAAAGGTCGAATGTAGGCCATTTCAACAATTTTGGAAACTGCCGACTGCTAACTCGGGAACCAATATAGAGCTACAGCGCCGCGGAAAAGCGCATTCGATAGCCCTTTTACAGACCTTTCTGAGTGTTGCTCTCAGATTTGACCTTAGGTCAACGGTTTAGTCTCCAGAGAGCAAAAACGGTAAAAACAGACGTTTTCACCAAAAACAGTTTTTCGGTAATAACTTTTGATTCAAGCAAGCCACGACATTACTTTTGCCAGCATCGTGTTCCTCTCGTCGAGACGCGTCGGATGAACTATTCGCTGACCTTGAAAGGTCATTTTGAAAATTTGACCTCAGGTCAAGGTCATGACCTGACCGGAAAGGGTCATGTTGCATATCCGTATCGTCGAGCTGAATACATCCGACGTGTTTTCATCGCTCTAGCACGTCTCTATCAAAAGTTATAGCCAAAAAACTGCTGGTGACCGTTCATGACCTGAGATGACCTCAGGGACACACAGAGGGGTCACAGGTGCATTTTTCCGATTCAGAGGGTTTTGAACCCCATTCGTCCACAAGAGAAGCATTTCAATTTTCTCCCATTGACTTAGGTATAATGGAGAGGTCGCAAAATTGACTTGACCTTAGGTCACCGATATCAAAATTCTGATACCACATACCTCTTATCAATCGCTGAAAGTTTCAAGGCGATCGTTCAGCCGCTGTAGCTCTGACGAGAATTGAAACTTTTTCTGAGGTGAGGTCACTTGACGTGACCTGGTGACCTGACCTTGAAAGCCCTGGGTTTACAACATTGCACAATTTTTACAACAATGTGCGGAAAAGATGCATAAACAGGTGTGCCAAAAACGGCGGCCGTTTTTGAGATATTTGCGAAACACCGCATTTGCTGAGCACCCGATTCCCCCCCCCCCCCCAACACTACCCCCACGCCCAGGTCACGTCAAGTGATCCGAGCAAGTAGTACGGTAAATGCTCTCCGTATAGCTACTACGTTAGAACGATTCATTTAACCCGCGCCCTGCCCGCTGCCGGCGGGAAGCGTGTTTGTTTGAAATCCCCTCGCGGTATTCCCCGAAAATCTTGAAAACAGCGGAGTATGGCCGCCATTTGTGGCACACCTATTTATGTATTTGTGCGTTACACGTTGTGAAATATTCAGACTCATGTTTTTCAAGGTCAGGTCACCAGGTCACGTCAAGTGATCTCACCGCAGTAAATGTTCTAGACACTCGCCAAAGCGACACCGTCTTAATTTTTTGTGTAGCTTTGGTCACACACAGTCACACAGGTACAAGAATATCTTTAAGGGAATTATAAAGGTGTAAGTTCAACACCACAATGACACCTAAAGTGCCGTCAAGTTTGACGCTTTTAAATACGCGTAAGCGTTTAGCGTATATGGGAGTCAGCAGTCAGCACCACACCTTCTAAAGGTTATTGAAGACACGCATTCAAAGAAAGCTTTTGTGCCAATCGAGCTCAAGTCAAGCTGTAAGTCACCGAAGGTCTTGGTGAATGAACAAGTCCTCCCGCGTCCGATGGAGGCCCCCTCAGTGTCTAGACTTGGGCAATGTACAATTATATCCATTCTCAAACTCAAGGTTCGAACTTCGAAATTCAAATTTTCCCGATTCTGACGTCTGTGAACTAATTTAACTCACAGCTTGTGAACTTATGATCTGGAAAATCTCCTATAGGTGATAACGTTACGGAGCGAGCGAAGTGAGCGGAGTCTTACGTAGAATAACGGAAATTTCTGAGTATGAGCGGCCGGCCGGCCGGCCGTGGTCACGATTTTGCGACGCTTATATCTCAGCAGTCAGCAGCCACTCGACCGATTTACATGCGGTAATTTTTGTAGGGTAGCTTCATTCCTTCTACCAAGTATTGGACTATTCTTGATGCATGTGGGTGACCCCTATGCACGTGCTACGTGCAAAACGAAGAGGTGTCAGTTTGGTAATAGTTGCAATATCTCGGTGACTACTTGGCCGATTGCGCTGAAAGTTGGCATGTAGGTAGACACCCACTAGGCAATGCATATCCATGTGCCAGAGTTGGGGTGCTGCTGCACGTGCGCACGTGCAGGGATCGTTTCCAGTTCTCGAGAACGGCTGGACCGATGGCGCTCAAATTTGGTACACGGTTAGGGACCAGTTAGTAGGGTGCCGTGCTCAAGTCAGTTGGGACCCATTTTACACGTGCGCACGTGCAGGGTGCCGCTTCCAGATCTCGAGAACGGCTGGGCCGATTGTACTCAATTTGGCCGACATCGCTAGAGACCGGTTAGTAGGGTCTCTAAGGTGTACAACTCAGCTGGAGGTACCCCCTCGCAATTTCGCACGTGCAAGGATCACCCTCTCGCTCGCTCCGTTAGTTCCCCCAAAAGGCGTTATACTGGTGAATATTCTAAAGCTCTTGAATTCTTACCCGAAACATCGGTTTATAACATCTGTCGGTGCGAACGGGGAGGACGAGTTCCACCCATCTCGCCGTTCCGCCCCGCACTTGCTTGATCTTCACAAAGCTCTGATACGGGCCGCTGTGACTGGCAGGTACCATATTTTAAGGATTTATGTTAGCTTGTGACGTCTGCGTTCAGGTCAAATATCTCAACAATCATGGTAGGATTTTGGTTTGTGGTAAATAACGTGGCCAAAAAGATCGTAGAGTTGCGATTTTGACACTATCGTTCTCGATACGCTCAGGTTGAACGGTTCACTTGTTCTCTAAAGAAGTTTAACTTAGAGTGTTGACAGGTCAGGTCAAGGTTAGGATAGTCACACAGGTCACTTAGAAGAGCGATGCAGGTCATACAACATATAATTCTTAAATATGCAAGATATTACAACAAAAATTACCCGACGTTTCGTTTATTATAACTTTTTCAAGGGTAGAGATCGATAACCCTCGACGTTTCGACGATAAACGAAACGTCGGGTAATTTTTGTTGTAATATCTTGCATATTTATGAAATAATCGTCACATTACAACTCAACATATAATTCGATTGGACAGCTCTTTTTATCAGTCAGTCCCTTCGGTGTGCGGAATACCGAGTAAGCAAGCGTCCTTTCGCTGGAAAGTTTTAACCCGTGCCCCGCTGGGGAACAATGATTTCCACGCCCTGCATGGGGTGTTTGAACAAAATCCTTCTAACTCAGCCCCTGGGCCGCGTAGCGACACGCTGTAGGGGGCGCTCGAGAGACCGTGAAAAATCATGACGAAAGTACGCTCGTCATTTTTTAGGTTAGGTCAAAGGTCAGGCCACCAGAGGACGATAAAATTACGCCGATTTCGACACTTTTCAGCAAGTGGCGCATACCTAACTCGAGACCGGACAGAGTTACATCACCTCGGAAAAGCGCATCTGATAGCTATTTTAGCGTTAATTCTGATTAGTCATATTTTACCGACACACGGTAGGTAAACGGTTTAGCTCCCAGAAGACAAAAACGGTCATGTTGCCTACAAGTCGATCGTATCGTTCAGCCAAATACGTCAATGTTTTTTTTTTCATCGATCCAGCATGTCTCTATCAAAAGTTATAGGTATTGTCAAGAAGTGCTGGAGACCTTATATGACTTGAGGTGAACTCAGGAGTATATAAAGAGGGGCACGGGTGTTTTTTTCGATTCATTGTGTCGTGTTTACCTACATATGATGATGTTTGAAAGTGTTTGCCATGATTTTTTTTTCCAAAAGGAGCGCAACTCAATTTCACCTTGTTGACTAACAATGGGAAAGTAACAATGGAAATGTTAGGGTTGTATTGGATATTTTAGGAAGGTCGCAATGGATATATTTCACTAGGGCCCTGCAAATTCGATGGATTTGAGGGTGACTCCGACTACGACTCCGGCTTCAAAAATCGACTCCGACTCGAACTCCAACTCCGACTCCGACGCCGGCCGGTCGCGCGCCATAAATGAATATGTTATTTGTAGCCTGGCAGCTTAGTATCTTCTTTAACTATTGTACAGCATTAATTATTTTTATAGTTTTATAAATGTGCTTACGCTTTATGTTGTAACAATTACATTAGTGATAAATCCTTCGATACAGTAAATCAGTGTTATACTTTTATTATTAGTAATCAAAGCTTTTATATAACACCACAAGCATACGAGACTAAACACTTAAAACAGGTATAAAAAGGTGAAATCCTACAGGTTTTCAAAACAGCGATACGGATCCAGACAAGCGCGCAACCGCGACTCTCGCTGTCCAACGCGACACGCTAGCGACCATCGCAGGGTCGTGTCAACAAGACTATTGTTTTTTGCTTAATTTTAAGTCACGCATACATGGGGAAAAGGTAATGCCGGCAAAGACGCGGAACAAAATACACATCTCTAAAGCGCATCGCGCTGATGTATGTACTGCCCGCTGCTACCGCTGTAACTCTGGTTAGCCGTTAAAGGCTAATCAGTGTGATATTTAACCCTCGCCCTGGCAGGGGGGGGTCGATGCGACCCCCCCCTAAGGTTTTTCGAAGATAGCGTAAAAACGGCGGCGCGCAGCGCCGCCAAATTTGGCACAGCCTATGGGGCAACCTTTTTAAATATGTCCTGAAAATTTCAGGTCCGGGTGACCTTGGGTCAGGTCACCAGGTCAGAAAAACCGGTACAAGGTCATGGTCAAATTTCAATTTTCTTTTTGCACCTGTCCAACTCACAGTTTTTGACTGATTTCCTTCAAACTTTCAGGATGTGCTAAGTTCACCGAGTTGTATAACATATAGTTCGGGTTTTTTGAGGTCACTGACCTGAGGTCAGTTAGAGGTCATTACGTCGTAATGTTAAGCCTATGGGAAAATACTAAATTCGGAAAATACTGGAGATATCCGCTTCGTTCTATCACTTTTGTGCTTTGAAACCACAGTACTTAACAGCAGGTCACTTGGTGCTTCTTTGTTTGGTGTACTTATCCATGGGTCAGGTCAAATGAGGTCAACTGAGGTCAAATGACGTTTTTGCCAATAACTTGGCACATAATGACGCTAGAGCTTAAAAAATGGTATCATTGTGTTCCTAGTGATCAGCCGAATCGAATGATATGCGATATGACGCAATTTGGTTAACTTGAACTTAATTTATTAATTTAAGTTTACTTAAAATTTAAGAAAAACTTTAAGTACACTTAAGCAAGCTAAAAAGTATACCATTCGACGCGCCTTGACGTGCTGAGTTCACTGGTGCTTTTCTTTTTGCTCTATCTTAATTAGATCAAAAGTTATAGGCGAAAAACTTTTGACCTGTTTTTAGCGAAATTTTTACATTTATACCCCCCAAAACCCCCCCTAAATATTGACCTAGAGCAACCAAATTTGCACAGGAGCGAGAACTCCAGGGGGCCCACCTACCTACCAAATTTGGTGTTTCTAGGTGCCATAGGAGCCAATCGCGAGGGGGGGGTCGCATCGACCCCCCCCCCTGCCAGGCCGTGTTATGAAAAATGCCCTGCCAGGGCGAGGGTTAATAGGAAAGCAGCAAACTAACGCACCATTCATTCGAAAGACGAAAAACCTATCATACAAAACTACTAAAATCCCTGAGGAATCAATGGGCCAAACAGGCATCTAATAGGTACCCACTATTCCGTCGTGAAAACGGCCAAATGGTCCTGACCGTAGGTCACCGATATAAAAATTGCGAGGCATGCATTTGATACATACCTACTTATACTCCTATCAATTGCCGAAAGTTTCAAAGCAAACTCAGGTAAGGTAAGTGCCTCAGGAAAGGCGCCGAATGGGAAGAACTTCGAGGAGCGACAAATAAAAACCAACATCAACAGTCGTGTCGCTCATTGCAAGTCTGCGCCAGATTCCAGTAACCGACAATGGCTGAGCAGTGAGTATACGGAAAGTTGCGCCGCTGTCGCCAGCCCGATATTTTTCGCGGCATTTCCAGCTCAAAATCTGCCTGCAATGACTGTGTCTGTTATACCTCCTGGCTGAGGGTCACTCAGCGGTCATAGCCCACCCTCTGCACCTGTTGAAAGCCACCGATCCCCCTACCCGAGCCTGCAGAGGGGACCGGGCCGCTCGCGCTAGGACACCGTGTGTCGGGCTGACACCGAGGGCCCTCCGGCCGCCGCTCCGCCGGCCGCGACGACACGCGACGCGCCGGTGGACGAGGACAGGCGGCGGGAAGGAGGAAGAGCGGGTGTCGGCACCGGCTGGGACTCCAGTGGTGGTTCGGCGAGCGGCGGCACCACAGTCGGGCGCCGCCACCCTCCTCCGTCCGTGTACAGGATGGCGCTCCTCCGCGCCGCCGCGACCGTGGCCACGCTGGGTGAGCTAACAAGAGTTGGTGTCTGGGGCAGCCAGATACGCAGCTGTCCATTCCCGGAATACCAGTAGCATATTTCTCTCGGTTGTTGACGTTGCCGTGACTGTAATATGCTACAAAAGCCCATATTATTGATGTTATGCTACGTCACGAGGCGAGGATGTTGAGGTTTAACCCGCACCCTGGTGGGGTCTGTTTATAACGCGACCTGGTGGGTGGGGGGGGGCTTTTTGTGCCCCCCCTCATATCTCCGAAACTACTGAACGGATCCGCAAAATTCAAACGGCGTTCGAAAGGCCCGTCAAATTTGTCAAAAGAAATTGAATTTCATTGACCTCGGGGTCACCGATGACGTCACAGGTCAGGTCAAAGATAAAATGTTTTGCCGTTCACGGGTATGCTACACACAGAAAAATATTAACACCGTTAGCGGTGTAATTGCACAGTACATATCTGAGCACTTGAGGAAAGTTAATTTAGTCCCTTCCCCGCTTAAATTACTCGCGCTTCTAAATGAACACCAGGAAGAAGGTAATAGAACACTGTGTTACTCGCGCTTCTAAATGAACACCAGGAAGAAGGTAATAGAACACTGTTAGGAGGGTTGGGTGTTTTACTACATGTAGCAAAACACCCAACCCTCCTAATAGTGCTCTATTACCTTCTTCCTGGTGTTCATTTAGAAGCGCGAGTAATTTAAGCGGGGAAGGGACTAAATTAACTTTCCTCAAGTGCTCAGATATGTACTGTGCAATTACACCGCTAACGGTGTTAATATTTTTCTGTGTGTAGGGAATGCGCTATATCATCGAGTACCTAAAACACATTTTATCGAAAATCAGCGATAGGGCGTCAGTTGCCCAGTACATATACTGCTATTAGAGGTCACTGATAATACCAGGTCAGGTCACAGTTCAGGTCACCAAGGGTCAGCACATGAACCCAATTTTACCAGGGCTGTGCGATGCATGTTTTATGGCCAATTTTTCATTTCCAACTAAATGGTGCTGGTTATATGTCCATCAGGAACGGTTTAGGTCACTTCCTGGTGGAGTCAGGTCAAAAAAGGTCAAATTTCAAACTGGTCGAGTCAGGTCAATGTCAGGTCAAAAAAGGTCAAATTTCAAAGTTGATATTTTTGCATAAAATGCGTATCGATTCGACGCAGCTCGTCACGGCAAGTCTAATGGTGGTCTTTGTTTGGCGCTTCTTGGTCTAAAATTGCCAAAAATTGAGTTTTAAAATTAGATTTTTGAAAATTTGAAAATTTGACGTCACCATTTTTGAACAGTTTTTTTTTTGCTCTGACTTGGCCAAAAAAGAGATTTCGATCTGAAATTTGGTGTGTAGATAGAACACGGTAAATACTATCACATATTTTCCGGTTTTTCCGAAATTCGAAAAACTTTTTGGATTTTTTGGCTTATATATCCAAAAGATTAATTTTTTTATTTTGGGGGTCAAATTTCAGAAATTTTGTAGCCCTGTCAATTCTACAGCTTTTATGTTTTATCATTTTTCTGCTTTTTTTTTCTCAAAGCTATAGGCCTGACAGCTCTTCCCGCGAAACCTTTTTTGGGTCGAAAACGGCAGAACATGACGTCACTCTGACGTCATTTCCGGCCAACCTATCATAGCCTTTGGTAAAAAGTTTTGTCACAATGTGATGTTCAGGAGAGTACTGAAAGTTTGGTGACGATCGGCGCAGTGGTTTTGGAGATATATCTAAAAGTCTGGAGAGGGGCAAAAAATACCCCCCCCCCCCACCAGGGCGCGGGTTAACGGTTTGGCCCCCAGTTGGCGAAAACCACCAACCACAGACTTCTCTATACATGGACTGTGCACTGATCTGGCCGAAGTAGCATAAGGGGCCCAAAATTGTGGCAATACGTTTGAAGCATTTGCCAGGGAGCATGGCCATTTTTCTTTGAATTATTCATTTTAACGTTCTGGAACCTTCGCTTAAATGGAAAACAAAACATTTTCCGCTATGTTTTCCCGCCAGAATTGCCAATCTTGAGTCAAAATTCCAGGCTGTGGACTTAAATATCAAGCGAAGATCAGAGGCATGCAAGTGTTTCTGTGCATTTTGAGTTGTGTGTTCAATGGTAGGTACTGTCATAAAACAGAAAGTTATACCTACTCCCAGCTACAAGTGGACTACTTTTCACCATCGATCAGGTTCAACAAAGACAGTTTTGGTTCCCACACGTATGTATTCGTAACGATTCCCAACGGCCAGCATGGGCACAAACACCGATTTGGTCCACTATCCCAGCCCTTGGGCCGATTCTCCTGGGACGTCTTGGGCCGGCTCGTCAGAAGAGGCAGCAACAGCATGCTCTGTGATCTCTGTGACGGCTCGCTGGTCGTTTTCCAGGCGTTGATGAGAGACAGGGTGCATGCTACATGTTCTTGAACAGGCATGAACTCAGCTCGCGCCCGTTAGTTTGCGGATCTTGTCCGAGTCCACACCGCGCCCACTGGTGCGCGTCGGCGGCCCCTTTCGTTTCTTGCTATGCACTTGGCTGTTCACATCCTTCACGTGGTTAGACACGAACACGTTAAACAGCGCTCCGGCCATGGTGGCGAGGATATTGCTGGTAAACTTGTGCCCCCTTCCACAAGCCACTTCCTTCAGTTCTTCGTCATCGCCGAGCATGTTCTGAACCACAGATCTGAACACATTCTTGGGACTTGAACTGCCAAAGAGGATGGTGTGAGTCTCTGACTGTGAATTCACCAGAAGTCTGTAGAGCTGGCAGACCTCCATGACGACTCGCAGGCACAGTTCACTCGGTTGCAGGAGCTTTCCACGGTTGAGGAGGTCGGTGAAGCTAGCAGCCACCAGCTTTTCTTCAGCATTCTCTGCCACCACGGTTACCAGTTGCGCCCTTAGCCCGTCAGAGAGTAGCGCGCGACACTCATCACATCTGTGAATCTTCTTGACTGAGTGGGCTAAATAGCCTGCTATGTGGTGCAGAGCCTGCTGTGTCCCTTCTGGGACGTCTTGGGCTGGGTCATCAGAAGAGGCAGCAGGGGCATACTCGGTGATCTCAGTGACGGCTCGCTGGTCGTTTTCCAGGCGCTGCTGAGAGACAGGGTGCATGCCAGCCGTCACTATGCTCAGACCATAGCCTGAGAGCCAAATTAGGCTTTTTACGCGGACGATAGCCTCTCCTTAAAAAAAAAATTGACGAGAGCTCGCCCAGAAGTTGCCTCCGGCCAGTTTCCGGAGATGGCCGAAGTGACCTTCTAGCCGGTCGGATTGAATCTTGCCAAGCAGGACATACTCGAGATCACACTGTCTGAGCAGATACTTGGCCAGCCCGACCAGCCCTCGACAGGTTGCTGCCACTCCACGTATCGTGTCGAGCGACATTTGCGTCTTCTTGTTTCCCTGGGCTTCCCAGCGCAGCATCATCTTTCCGAACTTCTCGATGTATGCCAGCCCTTCTTCATCTCCAGTGGAAATAGGCTGCAGAGTCGAGTCGTTGCGACGAACATGCTTTCCAGGGGACTTCACGTTGACGTCATCACTGTCATCACTGTGTGGACTCCAGGGATTCAGGATATACTCCTGATGCCTCCCATCTTCTCCAAGCGCTCGATAGAAGGCTTGGTTTGTTCTGTGTCCGTCAGTTGTAACGGACACTACACGGTACCCAAGATGGGTGAGACATCGCAGGACTTGGAAGAAGATTCTCTTCATTTCTTGGGTTGTGACGTGGGTGACTGGCGACATGGTTACCAAGTCCTCGTAGTTCCCGGCAACCGACGAAATGTGGGTGCAGAACAAGGTACTGGCGACAGCTGTTGCTTCTCCGCTGCTCTCCCCATGCAGTCTTCCTCCCGCCAGATCGAGTGCTGTGGCACAGTAAACCTCGTCCATGGCCAGATTTACCAGCCGTTCTCTTGGCTCTCATTCGGCTTCGAAAAACACAAACATTGGGTGGCATTGGCAACTATCACGTTCACGTGACTTTCGAGATGCTCAATTATCACCTGCTAACACTCATCTGTTTTGTTTCAGGCGGGGTGGCGACGGTGCACGGCGGCGATGCCGCATTTCCAGTGTTCGTGGATTCTCAGCCCAGCCCACCAGTTCACCATATCACTTACCGAGCCGACCTCTGCCTGGGGTCGGCTGCCGCCGGCTCTACTGATCGCCGGGGGCGCCCCTCCCCTATCTGTGGCTGTGGTGAGATGTGACCGACGTAGGGGACAGTGCCGAGGGTGATAACTATTGTGCAGAGGGCGAGACTCTGTTGGACCGGGACCGGTGGTAGACGGAGACGGTAGATCGGTGCACGGTGGCATCCGTCCATGAGTTTACCGGGACAGAGTGCTCGCTGACAGACGTGACAAAGTGCTCGCTGACAGAGGTGACAGAGCTGAGGGCGGCCGCTGCACCCACGCCGGCCGAGTGGCGATAGACCACGACTGGACGGTACGACTCTGCCGTACCGAACTCTGCCGGTCGGCGGCGCCACTCCGCGGCGCGGGCCGCCGCAGCGCTACTGTGTCGTTATACAAGTGTACGCTGTTGTAAATGTCTTGATCCGTGATGCTGTAAAACCTGGTTGTGGGCTACGTCGGATGTTGTCGCACATAATGTACTGTCATTTGACATTTTCATCCAAGAATTGTCATCGTTGCTGGATGTTTTTGACTATTCCACAGGTTGTATATTGATGTTTATCAGTATCTCGTAATTCAGCTTGCGTCAAACGCAGGATGCGCGTCCCTCACATTTTATCAGTTGGCCGTAATACAGTGTGAAAATGTCTGCTGGCTCATTAATAGGTGGGTTGACATGCAGCTGGTCCGATGAACATATCTGGGCGCCGTAAGAGAGGTTCCGGCTTAGAAATAGAGGTTCCGGCGATACTGGTGCTGCCGCCACCGCCGTAGCGGGAACGATCGACACTAGAGCTTCTCATAGTCGCCGCTTCGTTGACAGATGATGGTTATGGTGATAGAGAAATCGCAGCTGGGACGACAGAATTTGTCTTGACAGACACTTGCCCCGATCGCACGGTTTCTGATCGGGGATTTTTACAGTATCGTGTGTTCTGGTTGTTAAAATTGTTCGGTTGGTTGTTACCTACTTGCATGCTTATTGGTTGCTTAGTTTGCAAATGCGGTGAACCGTTTCATCCTCCGGTGTCGAGGCTCTTCAAACCGTCTGAATAATTAGCTAATGCCGGTTAGTTCATATTACAAGAATAGGGCATCGTTTGCTTTGTGATTGACTCAAAGCTGTGTTGCGTGTAAAACTGACTGTTTCAAGACTGATTTGGCTGCATTTGGCCTTCATATTTAATTTGGTCATCCTAAGCTAAACGGTATAGTGTATACAGCTCCGGATAGCTGCATGAACATGCATTATTCGATGGTGTTTCTCGAAGCTTTTATGATAGTGAGCCACTTATCAACACCATTTGGTTTTACGCCATTGACCCCATTTTCTTGAAAACAAAAAGATGAGCAAAGGGCCAGGCGGTGCAAAACAACAAACGTAAAAATTCGCTTCAAAAGTAGCTGCCGAAGATGGTCGTTGCCCATATGAACCGAGCACAATGCAAGGAAATCATTAGCGCGCGCAGCTGCACACAACTGAGACTGACGCCAAAGGAGCTGTATTGATGTTGAATTGAAGGAAAGGCGACTCTGAATGGCGGGTGGGTGGCAGAGACCTGTCGTTCGCTCGTTAGTCCGGCTAATACCCTCTGTCCGTACTGACATTCTCCCAATTACCCCGAACAGAGAGACGGAGAGCCGGCGCGACTGGCAGTACAGTCTGAGCAGCTCTGCTCCGGCCGGCCGTGGACGCCTAACAAGTCACCCGATACCGGCCATTGGTGGCCGCTATTCCTGTCTGAAAACGCGCGAGGCTTGGGAGTGGTTTGGTGAGATCGTGTAGTTATTATGATGTTATGGATAGACTTAGCTTCGCTTACCAGGACCTTCCCCTAGTTTGACAAAATCGCTATCACGTCGCATTCGATGAAGCCAGCTTCGCTCGGCATGGACTCTTACGTTGAGTCTCAATTACTACCATGAGCTTTCTGTAGGACGTTTCACATTAACTCGCGCCGGGCCGGTGATCCGCGACTTTTCCGCCGGGCCGGGGGTGTCTGACCCCCCCCCCCCGTCTAACTCGGCTCCTGGGCCACGTAGCGACATACGGTAAGCGGCATAAAAAAACGTCAAAAATTATGACGGAAACACTTCGGTCATTTTTTGGGTTAGGTCAAACGTCAGGTCGCCAGATGTCATCAAAGGTCGAATGTAGGCCATTTCAACAATTTTGGAAACTGCCGACTGCTAACTCGGGAACCAATATAGAGCTACAGCGCCGCGGAAAAGCGCATTCGATAGCCCTTTTACAGACCTTTCTGAGTGTTGCTCTCAGATTTGACCTTAGGTCAACGGTTTAGTCTCCAGAGAGCAAAAACGGTAAAAACAGACGTTTTCACCAAAAACAGTTTTTCGGTAATAACTTTTGATTCAAGCAAGCCACGACATTACTTTTGCCAGCATCGTGTTCCTCTCGTCGAGACGCGTCGGATGAACTATTCGCTGACCTTGAAAGGTCATTTTGAAAATTTGACCTCAGGTCAAGGTCATGACCTGACCGGAAAGGGTCATGTTGCATATCCGTATCGTCGAGCTGAATACATCCGACGTGTTTTCATCGCTCTAGCACGTCTCTATCAAAAGTTATAGCCAAAAAACTGCTGGTGACCGTTCATGACCTGAGATGACCTCAGGGACACACAGAGGGGTCACAGGTGCATTTTTCCGATTCAGAGGGTTTTGAACCCCATTCGTCCACAAGAGAAGCATTTCAATTTTCTCCCATTGACTTAGGTATAATGGAGAGGTCGCAAAATTGACTTGACCTTAGGTCACCGATATCAAAATTCTGATACCACATACCTCTTATCAATCGCTGAAAGTTTCAAGGCGATCGTTCAGCCGCTGTAGCTCTGACGAGAATTGAAACTTTTTCTGAGGTGAGGTCACTTGACGTGACCTGGTGACCTGACCTTGAAAGCCCTGGGTTTACAACATTGCACAATTTTTACAACAATGTGCGGAAAAGATGCATAAACAGGTGTGCCAAAAACGGCGGCCGTTTTTGAGATATTTGCGAAACACCGCATTTGCTGAGCACCCGATTCCCCCCCCCCCCCCAACACTACCCCCACGCCCAGGTCACGTCAAGTGATCCGAGCAAGTAGTACGGTAAATGCTCTCCGTATAGCTACTACGTTAGAACGATTCATTTAACCCGCGCCCTGCCCGCTGCCGGCGGGAAGCGTGTTTGTTTGAAATCCCCTCGCGGTATTCCCCGAAAATCTTGAAAACAGCGGAGTATGGCCGCCATTTGTGGCACACCTATTTATGTATTTGTGCGTTACACGTTGTGAAATATTCAGACTCATGTTTTTCAAGGTCAGGTCACCAGGTCACGTCAAGTGATCTCACCGCAGTAAATGTTCTAGACACTCGCCAAAGCGACACCGTCTTAATTTTTTGTGTAGCTTTGGTCACACACAGTCACACAGGTACAAGAATATCTTTAAGGGAATTATAAAGGTGTAAGTTCAACACCACAATGACACCTAAAGTGCCGTCAAGTTTGACGCTTTTAAATACGCGTAAGCGTTTAGCGTATATGGGAGTCAGCAGTCAGCACCACACCTTCTAAAGGTTATTGAAGACACGCATTCAAAGAAAGCTTTTGTGCCAATCGAGCTCAAGTCAAGCTGTAAGTCACCGAAGGTCTTGGTGAATGAACAAGTCCTCCCGCGTCCGATGGAGGCCCCCTCAGTGTCTAGACTTGGGCAATGTACAATTATATCCATTCTCAAACTCAAGGTTCGAACTTCGAAATTCAAATTTTCCCGATTCTGACGTCTGTGAACTAATTTAACTCACAGCTTGTGAACTTATGATCTGGAAAATCTCCTATAGGTGATAACGTTACGGAGCGAGCGAAGTGAGCGGAGTCTTACGTAGAATAACGGAAATTTCTGAGTATGAGCGGCCGGCCGGCCGGCCGTGGTCACGATTTTGCGACGCTTATATCTCAGCAGTCAGCAGCCACTCGACCGATTTACATGCGGTAATTTTTGTAGGGTAGCTTCATTCCTTCTACCAAGTATTGGACTATTCTTGATGCATGTGGGTGACCCCTATGCACGTGCTACGTGCAAAACGAAGAGGTGTCAGTTTGGTAATAGTTGCAATATCTCGGTGACTACTTGGCCGATTGCGCTGAAAGTTGGCATGTAGGTAGACACCCACTAGGCAATGCATATCCATGTGCCAGAGTTGGGGTGCTGCTGCACGTGCGCACGTGCAGGGATCGTTTCCAGTTCTCGAGAACGGCTGGACCGATGGCGCTCAAATTTGGTACACGGTTAGGGACCAGTTAGTAGGGTGCCGTGCTCAAGTCAGTTGGGACCCATTTTACACGTGCGCACGTGCAGGGTGCCGCTTCCAGATCTCGAGAACGGCTGGGCCGATTGTACTCAATTTGGCCGACATCGCTAGAGACCGGTTAGTAGGGTCTCTAAGGTGTACAACTCAGCTGGAGGTACCCCCTCGCAATTTCGCACGTGCAAGGATCACCCTCTCGCTCGCTCCGTTAGTTCCCCCAAAAGGCGTTATACTGGTGAATATTCTAAAGCTCTTGAATTCTTACCCGAAACATCGGTTTATAACATCTGTCGGTGCGAACGGGGAGGACGAGTTCCACCCATCTCGCCGTTCCGCCCCGCACTTGCTTGATCTTCACAAAGCTCTGATACGGGCCGCTGTGACTGGCAGGTACCATATTTTAAGGATTTATGTTAGCTTGTGACGTCTGCGTTCAGGTCAAATATCTCA